CTTCTTCCGAGACCGTATTGCTTTCTTACTCATAAGACCGAGTATTAATTTTTTTTCGTAGATTCGCATACAATTCTCAGCACCCACAGGGTTCATGGCACTTCCGCGGCCTGGTGTTTTTGTGGTAGTATCGTACAATGGTACACTGGAACAGGGGTTGCCCTTCCACCTTATCCAAGACCCCTCAAATTACTCTGTTGTCGTTGTTTTTTAAATTTTCGTCGTGTGCGCGATTTAGATGTGCCCTGTTATTGGTGTGAGATGATGCAAGGGATGGGCTATCCACCCCGTGATTAACACCCATCCGTTGTTTTTTGTTTCAGACACTCGTTTTGTCATACGAGCTATTTATATCCCTTGCCTTTTTCAGCCACTGCCCAGATAATAGAGAATCACACCAGATATTACCATGCTTATCTGATGAAGCAGTTGTATTTTGTGTGCAAACGCTGTTGGACGTATTCACGTCACGTGAACACCCTCCATGAACCCTGTTGGGGATGTCATATTTTAGAAAGCACAGGATGGGATTTTTGAACACCCGGCAGGGGGAGGTCTGCATGGTGGCGCCACCCCTGCTGGATGTTCATTCTCATTTTTTTTTTCATTTAGATTCTCATCGGATGCTAGATGATGAGATCCTTAAAATCCTTATAGACTTTGATTCGTCTATCCTCAAAGAAGGACCCACGCGTTCAAATCATTCTTTTTTTCATTAGAATCCCATTGGATCATTGACTTTGCTATGATTTTTCGAGGATGGCCCATCCCTCATCAACTTTCTATCGTTCTTCATTAGATTCTCATTGGCTCATTCAAGATCTTATGATTTTTCGAAGCTGGCCTATTCCTCACAAACTTTGCATTGTCAATCATCATGGATGGTCTAGTTTTCTCCATTTATTCAAACTCAGACATTGATTTTTTTGTTTTATCAGTATGTCATTGGTTCCTAGATACTCAAACCAAGATATTGATTTTTTATTAGCCTGTCACTGGATCCTAGACCATTTTGATTATAATCAAGACTGGATTTTAATAGAATATTATTGTAAACAAACATTTCAAGGGCGTGACACCATTCGGGCGTCACACACGTCCCACATGTAATCAAGTCTTTTTTGTTTGTTTTCCAGTCAATCATTGGACAATAAAGCATCGTCTCGTACGTGCCAATGGTCGACTGTATCTCATCCAGTTTGCTTCTTGGATCTAACCACCCCTCCTCTAATTTGTTTTCAGGCACCATTGCCACGTTCAAAATCTATTTAATCAAACCGTGGTCATTCACAGGTTTCAACCACTATATCAAATGGCCTCATCCAACGCTCATGACTTCTGCCTCCAGGAAGCAAACACCCTTTCTCATGTTCACTTATTAATCTCCAGGGCGTGACGTCACTCGGGCGTCACACACGTCCCGCATGTAATTAGGTTCATTCGCGACACGTCCATTAAAAATCATGTGTGGATCTAAAATCTTGTGTGTTTTTCTTGACTTTGGGGATGCGAGGGGTCTGGGACCACTTTTTCATGACTTGCGCATGCGCAGTAGGTCTACGCGAACATAGGCTCACTGGCATGCGGGGGACCTGGGGAGTCGTTTGGCGGTCTGCGCATGTGCCTACGATCTCATTCACGTGACTGCGCAGGGTAAACGCTTGGACCCCATTGCGCATGCGTTCAACTACTAGGCGCTCTTCTCAATAAAACTATGCTAAGCATGTAGATTCAACTCTTGTGTGTGCGTGTTCTTTATTCCTAGAGGTCACGTGGGTTAAAACCTTGATTTGTGACGTCAATAAGTCACATGGGCCAAATGCGCGATGCTGATTGGTCGAGACCAAATCTGCTGCGCTCTGATTGGTTAGGACCTGTTGTAGCCCTGTGCACTACTATTGTCACATAGATATTGATCGCAACGTTTCGACTGCGTGCTGCAGGTTTTCATCAGGCAATAGCGTCGATTTACTGCGTAGAACTATTTGTACCGCCATGGTTGGTACTATTATTATCATTATTATGGTTTACTTACAGTAACTTGACAGCTTTTCGTATGAAAGGAGGGTCAGCGTGCTCGCCGAGTTTGCCTTCGTTAAGGTCATCTAAATACCTGATTCATGCGTACAATGTAGCTATACTCAGCACTTAATTTTGTGTCCAATTTAAAGGATTAAGTTGTCATATATTTTGGTCTTTGATTTGTACTTTGTTGAAATCTAGAGGATCAGAGGGAATTTCGTGAATTTACTTGAAAAGAATTGAGTTTTCGTGTTTTTTTCTTTGTTTCAGTTAAACCAGAGAACATCCAATTAACAATTAATGACTCAAGTATCTGTCAGGGTGATGTCTTTCGATTAAGCTGCTCTGCTGATGGCAACCCTGCCGTGAAAGTCTATCAGTTATTTGAAAATGATGTCCTTGTAAGTAGAAGCAACAGAAGCCCATTGGTTTGGAGTAAAACAGCATCAACTGGAGGAGTGTTTGTTTACAGATGTGTGGCTGACAACTCGGTGGGGACAGCAGTTGCTACAACAACTGTCACTGTAAATGGTAAATAAGCTTAATTTATTTGATACTTCAAAATGACTTATACTTGATACTCATTGAATGATCAATGTTACTGATTTCTTCAAGTACCAGTGAGAATGTGTTCCTGCCACCTGGGACTTTATCGCGAAGATTCTTAAGTCATGAAAGCGATCCAAGAAGCCTTAGTCTCTAATTGACTTAATTGTAAATGGACTTGAGGAATTATTCCATATCAATATATTAATATATTAATGGTGTTCCTCTCCATTATATAAAATAATGAATAATTGATCGATGAAACTTAGGCCCAGTTCAAACGTCGAATTTCACATGTGCCGAATTTAATTGCTATTTTAGTCGACTAAAATAGTTAAATACGGCATTTGATTCAAACGTCGAATTTAACTCACTGAACTCTGTCGAATTTAACTCTCTTCGCTGTCAATATTCCCAGTAATATAATAATAATTTACTAAAATTCATGGGCGTCGATAAAACCCGGAACATGGAACATCCCGGAACATTCCGGAACATCCCGGAACATGAAAAAATTAAAAAATTTTTTTATGAAAAAAAAAAAATTAATTAAATAAATAATAGTAATAATAATAATAATAATAATAATAATAATAATAATATAAATAAAAAGAACAATAGATAGAAAATAATTTTTGCAAAAATTTATAATAACAAAATAAATAACATAATAACATAAAAACGAAAAATAAGGAAACAAACAAAGAAAGAAAGAAAGAAAGAAAAAGAAACTGGTATCATCTCCGAGTATGAGAAAACAATATTTAGTCGCAATGAATTTTTTGGGCGAGTGAGGGTCCATTCAAATGACAGTAATGAGTAAAGGCTTGCTTCTAAATTCAAAATATATTAAAATGGGTCGCGAGGAGGGGATTTTCAAGCTTTCCTGACACAGCCATCTCTTGTAAATGTTTGCCATGCGGTTTAACGGTTATCAATTTACGGCTTTGCGACCGTAAGAAGAGCTTAGCGGCTCGTCGCTTTGGACTTGAATAATTAAATTAAAGATTCACATTCGCCGTGAATAGTTGCAGTGGCAGTGGTAGCGCAGCGGTAGTTTCTAACTGTTATCAGTTAGCCTTTTTTTCAGTCGTCTCCCCGCAAAGAAGAAGAAGAAGAAGCAAGCCTTCACTCATTACTGTCATTTACATGAACCCTCACCCAACAAATTTTAATTTGTTGCGACAAAATATCGTTTTCTCATACTCAGAGAGGATACCAGTTTCTTTTTCTTGATTATTTCATTCTTTTTCGTTTTTTTTTTTGTTATTTTACGTTCTTATTAATTTTTACAAAAATTATGTTATTATTATTATTTTATTATTTTTTTTCATGAAAATTATTTTTATTTTTTCATGTTCCGGGATGTTCCGGAATGTTCCGTGTTCCGGGTTTTATCGACGGCCAAAATTCATTCATTAAGTTTGGCACATGTGAAATGCGACGTTTGAATCAAAAGTCGAACCTAAGTTGAATCTTCGACTGTTTCAGTCGCAGATACGGCAAACGTTGCATTTAATTTAAACAGTCGAATTTAATTGATTCAAACGTCGCACTTCACATGCATTTAACTGTCGCGTTGAGTTCGGCACATGTGAAATTCGACGTTTGAACCGGGCCTTGTATTAATGAGATCCTAATTTTTTTTTAATAGCGGAAAGTACTATTCAGGTTCTTAACAACATCACAGTAGTAGAGGCTGAAAACTGGAATCTGACCTGTAGTGTCAGTGGGAATCCTGTGCCATCAGTATCCTGGACGAAAGTTAGAACTGGTAGCCGTACAGAAGGGGACGTCCGTGAGCTTATTAATATCCACAGAAGTGACGCTGGTGAATACAATTGCGAAGCAAGAAATTTTTGTGGAAATGACATCAAGAGCTTATTTCTGTTTGTACACTGTAAGTGATGGCTTGCTTGTTACAGTTATAATAATATTTAGCTTTAGTAGGCCAATGACTAATAATTATTGGACGAGGTTGAGCAAAATATCGTGATTTGTCAGTGGCGAGCAGATCAATTATTTGCCGAAGCCGAACGCTGAGGCAAATAATTGATATGCGAGACACTGACAAATCACGATAAAACATTATTATTGTTTTATCATTCGATCACCAAGTTTGTTTTCTAATGATTATCTTCGGGAAGCGAAGCGATCTGCCTTTTTTTTCACGCAAGAACGATCACAAGAAGGAGAAAAGCCTGGTTTCGTTTACGCATGAGCATATTATTATTTGCAGTCAAACACAGTTGGACGACATTGCGCACGAGCAGACCATTATTTTAAGGCAGTTATTTGCAGATCACTTGGTGGGCTTTCGGCCAGTGAAAAGGAAGAAAAATTTGCATCGAATGATACCTAAAATTATTTAAAGTTCATCAATATAATTTGTCCCCTCACTGCCATCTGGTCTATCAAATTATTCATCAAATATGTATCTCTTGGCTTATTACTTTTCAGTCAAGCCAGAAGATGTACAGTTGACAACAAACGCGACATCTAAAGAAGTAAAGCAGTTTGAACCTGTGCAGTTCAACTGCTCAGGACATGCCAATCCACCAGTGACATTGTATCAGTTGTTCGTGAATGATGTTTTGATAAGTGAGAGCAGCACTGGAGTCTTCAGCGAAAAAATAATGAACAGTGGTAATTTGACCTACAAATGTGCGGCTACCAATGCTGTGGGAACAACAAGCAGCGAGGAAGTTTACTTTATTGTTAATGGTAAGTTTGATACTGAATTATTAAAGCTATGAAAAGTGGTTAAGTTAGGCAACCAGACTATTTACCACCCTGAAGATTCCGCCCGAAATAGCCCTTGTGCGTTTTCACCTTGATCATGCTCTTAAATCTAGAGCCCGAGATCTATCTCTTTGACAATTGCAAACCTAGCGCAGGGAGTCCAACGATGATATGCTGCAAGGGTTTTCTTTCCCTAGCTAAGCTACAATGAGGCCTTGAACGACGATATCTTCTTCCAAAAGTATACCGTAGGGAAGTCAGAGACTTCGCAACATTTTACTAACTCAAGTGTGGTCACTACAATTGCTCGTTTGACGGTTCCTATGTTCAGTTCCGCGCAGATAGAGACAAAGCGTCTACTTCAGTTATCTGATAATTCAGTAAACGCATTAATACAGTAATATCGAACTGTTTAAGGAAACCTTTCGACGCGTTACTAACCGTCAGTCATAAAACAATTCTAAGTTACTTTGCATGCCTATACTGACGGTTTTTCATTTTCCATCTCTCCTGCGTTTTTAGAATTCGTTTGCAAAGCTGTGGCAGATGTCGCATTCATTGTTGATTCTTCGGGAAGCATTGGTAGAAGAAACTGGGTAAAAATGCTCCAGTTCGTCAAAGATATGGTGAAAGCCTATAATGTTGGTCCACAAAAGACGCATATTGCTGTGATCGCTTACAGTACCGGTGCGAAGGTCGAGTTTAAATTGGACAGGCTCTTGGGATCTGCAGTTACAGAGGAAGGCTACTATAAGCTCATCGACAGGATTAGGTTTCAGAGAGGCTACACCTTCATTGATAAAGCTCTCTTGCTAGCCAACGAACAGATATTTACCACCAATTCTGGAATGAGGCCTCATCTGCCACAGGTATTAAAATTTTTCGCTCGGTTTTTTTTTCATGTACTGGTCCAGTATTTTTTAAAGTTTTCTTTTGTTTTATATCTTGTCGAGAAAGGTTGTGATCATAAAATGCCGCAAAAGGTTTCGGTTCCTTATCCTGAAAACTTTAGACAAAATCTCTCAATTGTATCTATGAAGGAAAAATTAAGAAGGGTGGTAAGTTGAGTGTTTGGAAAGAGCTTGAAGTGATTGCTAAATTAAAATTTGAAGTTAACAGAAAATGCAGTAGACCAATAGAGCTAAGCCCTGACAGCGTTGTTAATGATTATATGGTGATACCAGAGACGCATGAAATTCGTCGAGGAAACAAAATATGCCAGCACATAGGATATTTTCCCTATTTACTAAGGGAATAAACTTGTGCAGTTTAATTACTTAATTTAGAAGCTCTTTCAGTATTTTTCTTACCTAAAATAAGTATGGCCATAAAGGGTAAACGATTACGTCTGCGAGGATATCATTCACCCATGTACTGGTTAATTAAGACTTCTATTGAAAAAAATAATTCAAATGTGGGACTTTACCAAATACCTTGTCTCACTTATTAAATGATTATTTTTCTCTTACAGATTGCTATTGTTATCACAGACGGTGAACAGACGACAAACCGAGGACCTTACACGCCCCTTTCAATTGCATCCAGAGCACTCAAAGATAAAGGTGTTAAAGTCTACTCCCTTGGAATCGGCAAAACCGTCAATCGAGATCAGCTAAACGAAACAGCCAGTTCAAGTTCAAAAGTCTTTACAGCTTCCAGTTTCTCAGAACTCGCTCCTATAGCGATGAAGATTGTCCAAAGCTCATGCCCAGGTATAGTTTTACAACTATGATTCGATGTTAGTGCATATCTTTTACTATGACAACGAATTTCACCAAATAACATATTGTAGCTAGTTTCATACATGTATATCATATTTACTAATTTTGTTAGCTTATTTTTGTACGCCTTCAAGGCTTCATCAGGCGTCGTTTCGTGGCGCTTGGTCAATTTCCAAAATATCGCAAAAAAATCATTTGCTTTCTGTCTTCTGGATTATTTAAAACTGCTTTAACGACTTCATTTTCACCACCACCATATTACAATTGTTTCACCTTCATCTTCACAGCCACCGACACATTTTTAGCTTCGGTTTCTCTCAAACAAACGCAGCCAACCCATTTCTAACCAACGTCCCCCACCAGATTTGTATTATTCAGCCGTTTACATCACCAAGACCACCACTTCGTATCAACCTGTTATTAGCTTGAATTTCAGTTCGACCTAGCACATCAAACACATTGACTGCCGATCGGCCCTTAATTGACCTAACCTCGACACCACAATCTTGTGCGCCCAATTTCCAAAGAAGAACGAGATAACAGGCACTTTAGAATTTCTTTTATCTGAAAAATGGCGTTCAGAAATGCAGCACTTAGATCCCCTGAATCTGTCTCTGCATGTACACGAAGAGGGATTCATCTTCCGTTTTCTCTTGTTTCAGTCAAACCAGGTAACATCCGATTAACTGTGAATGACTCAAGCATCTGTCAGGGGGGTGTCTTTAGTTTAAGCTGCTCTGCTGATGGTGGAAGCCGTACTGAAGAGGTCTATCAGTTATTTGAAAATGATGTCCTTGTTAGTAAAAGCAGCAGCAGCCCATTGGTTTGGAGTAAATCAGCATTAATTGGAGGAGTGTTCGTTTACAGATGTGTGATTGACAACTCTGTGGAGACGGCAAATGCGACAATAACTGTCCCTGTAAATGGTAAAGACACTACATTTTTTTTTCATTTTGCAAAGTTCATTTCTTAACCTTCCATACTCAATAATACAGTATATAGATATAGCCAAGGCCAAAAGCGAAGCTCTCAAGGGATCTTTTAAGATATGTCTTTCTCATGACAAGTAATTTAACTTTTGCCGTGAGCAGAAAACAAACTGAGTTCTACCTTAAAAAAAATGGTCCTGAGCGATCAATTCAAAACCAAAAACTGGTCAACGGATAACTTTAAAATTATACGTCAAACCGATTAGTTGTATACCTGAGCCCGCGATATAATCATGTGACAATGGTCAGTGGATACTCTTTTTTGACAGCTGTCAAAACAACAAAATATATGCCTTAGACTCCTAGCTAGTAAGTGTCTCATTTCACATCCGCTAACATGAAGAGAAGAATGTCGGGCGTACTCACGGACGATTTTGTCAGAACCAAAATTTCTTGGATGCATAGAAAAACCAAAATTTTGTTACTGATGGTGCTCTGCTGCGCGCGTGGGAGCTCCGCTAATACCACCTTGATTCTTATAAACAGAGAGATCTACAATAGACAGACTGAATAACATCACGGTAGTTGAGGGTGAAAACTGGAATCTGACTTGTGGTGTTACTGGGAATCCGGTGCCATCAGTTTCCTGGACGGAAGTAAAAACTGGTAGCCGTACAGAAGGGAACGTGCTTGCCCTCATTAACATTAGAAGAAGTGACGCTGGTGAATATATATGTGTGGCTAGCAATTTTTGTGGAAATGACACCAAGAGCACATTCCTGATTGTGAACTGTAAGTGACTACTGATAAAACCTTCTTCAGCTTGTATGTTATTATCATTAGATCTCATCGACCGTAGCCCCATCGGACACATCATGAAATTTACACAAGCACTTCCTTTACTGATTAGGGTTAAGTACTGTTTCTAAACTGGTTAGGTTCTTTTTTTGTGTATGTTTCTCCTTTTGGTAATAGCAAACTGTTTGTTCCTTTGGTCGTTTTCGTTGAAGAAACTTTTTTTATCGTACTATTTGTTTTTGAAAGCACGGTGATCATACAACTTGAAATTATTTTGGTCTTATGTAAGGCCAAGTGATGGATGGATGTGTTGGTCAGAATTTTTATCTTGATGGCTCCGAGTGTCCGTCCGTATTGGGCACTGGTCTCACTCGGGCGTAGAGAAACAAATTTATCCATATTTATTCAGTATCTGCCTCTTCAGCAGGGCTTAACAGGGGTCCTGATAAACGAAAATCAAATCCATGAGAATGTAACAAAATATAAAGAGGCAGATACTTGTAAAATTTACTACACAACAAAATAACAGAATAACATTTTATCAGCATCTCTTTGAATTTAGATAAAGATTTGCAGTGCTTTGCCGAGTCCGATGGGTCATTGTTGGCCCTTGCTGCCTGGTATGATATGGATTAGTTCGCGCAGCCGGAAGTACAATATTAAATTCACTGCTCCACGTTTTATAATTATGACTGATTCGCTGTGCAATAGAGAAACGTTCTGTACGTACAAGTCCATTCAAACACTTGTAAATGAAAGATTTTGTCGCCGCCTACTAAGTAGGTTAGTCCCGCTAAGTTGTGACACCGATCGTTGTTAGATCCTTCTCTTAGCACAACTATTGCTGCTCTATTACGAAGCCTAGAATTGGCCTGCGAGGAAGCTCTCCTATTTGGGCAAACGAAGTGAGCCTCGCGAAAACGCGCGAGGAGGGACCCTCGCGGTTCTCGAGACTCGCTTCACTCGCCCAAATAGGAGAGCTTGCTCGCAGGCTAGCCTGAAATGGGATGAATTTTCCTTTTTCTGCTTGTTTCAGTTAAACCAGAGAATATCCAGTTAAGAGCAAATGACTCAAACATCTGTCAGGGTGATGTCTTAAGTTTAAGCTGCTTTGCTGATGGTAACCCTGCCGTGGAAGTCTATCAGTTATTTGAAAATGATGTTCTTGTAAGTAGAAGCAACAGAAGCTCATTGGTATGGAGTAAAACAGCATCAGCTGGAGGAGTGTTTGTTTACAAATGTGTGGCTGACAACTCTGTGGGGGCTGCAAGTGCTACCATAACTGTCACTGTAAATGGTAAACAACCAGTGATTTTGCATAGACTTTTCTCTTTTCGAAAGTAATTGTTAAATAAAATGTGAACCTAATTGTCTTACAGTGATGTTAATTTTAAAATAGCGGGAAGTACCATAAAGACTGTCAACAACATCACAGCAGTAGAGGGTGAAGACTGGAATCTGATTTGCGGTGTTACTGGGAGTCCGATGCCATCGGTGTCTTGGGAAGATGTTAAGACTGGCAGCCGTACAGAAGGGGACGTCCGCGAACTTATTAACATCCATAGAAGTGATGCGGGTGAATACAAATGTGAAGCCAGCAATCTTTGTGGAATGGATATTGTGAGCACATTTCTGATTGTACACTGTAAGTGACCGCTCATTAGAACACACATCTGTAATTAAGTAAGTAAATTAAGTAAGTAAGTAAGTAAGTAAGTAAGTAAGTAAGTAAGTAAGTAAGTAAGTAAGTAAGTAAGTAAGTAAGTAAGTAAGTAAGTAAGTAAGTAAGTAAGTAAGTAAGTAAGTAATAAGTAGCTAATCGTCACTAATTTAAACTTTTTTAGTACGCAATCTTGCCAACACAATGTAACGAATCTTGTAAACATCGCGCGAGATTTAAATTTAACGGCGACCTCACAATATGTAACACTGAAGATGACTGATGTATCATTGTATGTCTGCTAAAGGACGTTGATATGTTTATGCGGACATCTGTAATTGTTTCAAAACTGTCGAATGGGATCGAGCTACGTTAGTAACCTGGAGTCTCTGAGACTTCTGAGACAAATTTTACTGGTTTTCCTTTTCTTTATTCAGTCAAGCCAGAAGATGTACTGTTGACAAGAGATCTGATTTCTAATAAAGCAAGTCAGTTTGATGTTGTGAACTTTACCTGCTCAGCTAACGGAAATCCACCGGTGGAATTGTATCACTTGTACGAGAATGATGCTCTCATTCGTAATAGCAGCACTGGAATGATCAAAGTAGAATTAATGAACAGTGGTAACTTAACCTACAAATGTGCGGCAACCAATGCTGTGGGGACCACAAGTAGCCAGGATGTTTTAATTGCTGTTGATGGTAAGTAGACAGTTATAAAAATTTTAGATAATAGTTATGTTAAGGCAAGACTCGATGCATATTTAATTTATACAAAATCCGTTGTCCGGCCAAGATACGGACAAACGTTCAGTTGGCCGGTCATTTTGACCGGTCAAGTGCACGGCTTTCAAATAAATAAATGGAAAAATACATTAAGTCACATCATGAATTCTGTAAATTACAAAAACAGTTAAATTGTAAAATATTTTAGCCCCTTGCAGTTATAAAGTCGGAGAATACAAATGAGACGCTGTCTGACGGTCTCGTTCAGTGTTTTTGTTAATGCCAAAATAATAGTAATTGCCAGTTTACGACATTTTGACCGGTCAGAAACGAGCCATGGTCATTTTGAGGTCTGGATCAAGGCTTTAACTAGCAGAAGAGCTGTTTTCAGATTTCTCTTTTAATAATCTAAAAAAATTTTAAATCATGGCTTAAATTTTTAGCTCTACATTGATATGTTAGTCAATGTTTTGCGCAGTATATTTCTCAAAATTGTGCTCAGTTTGATGGGGCTGAATCACTCAAAAATCTGATTTGGTTGGAGATATACCGGTCAAGATAGATACGTTATAAGAACCGCAAAGCGCGCCATGATAGTCTCGATAGAATTTGCTGTAACTGTTATCATCATCATCATCATCATCATCATCATCATTATTATTTAAATTACGATTATTACAATGTCTCTAGGCACTTCATTTTTATAATAAGCTAAGTAGGTACATACCTAAAGTACCAGAGTAGTACCCAAATATTAAGTGAAAGGGTAGCTTTAAAGGATCCAAGAAATTAGCACAATAAAGCTTAAACTAAGTCTTTACGTTTTAAGGCCCTCACAGTTTAATTAATGAAACACCAAATTGACCCAGAATTCTGTGCTTCCGTACCTGTTGGTTTTCCCCATTTTCAATTCGTTTTTTCTCCTGCATTCTTAGAATTCGTTTGTAACACCGTGGCAGATGTGGCATTCATTGTGGATTCCTCGGGAAGCATTGGAAGAAGAAACTGGGTAAAAATGCTCCAGTTCGTCAAAGACATGGTGAAAGCATTTAATGTTGGACCACAAAAGACGCATATTGCTGTGATTGCTTACAGTACCGGTTCAAAGGTCGAGTTTAAATTTAACACACTCACGGGATCTGCAGTAACAGAGGAAGGATACTACAGACTAATAGAGAGGATTAGGTTTCAGAGGGGCTACACCTTTATTGGTAAAGCACTCGCACTGGCCAACGAACAGATATTTACCACAGTCTCTGGAATGAGACCTTATTTGCCACAGGTATGGAAAGTCTTCGCCACGCTCCGTTCTTTGCTCTCAGTGAGAGTTTCAGCCAAATTCCTTTTGTAAATTCAGAGGGGTGTGTGTGTGTGTGTGTGTGTGTGTGTGGGGGGGGGGGGGAGAGAATGAATGGAGGGACCAGGCGATTATAAGTATTGTTTTAAACAATGCCCTTTGGTTTTAGGACAATACTTCAGGTGTTAAGTTGAATCCAGCCCCAGATATAGGCCATGAGTTCCAAAATCCCTCACTTTCAAATCGAGGGTACGTGCAAAACCTTTCTTTTGAATATGTGTTTTTTTTAAATGAGAATTAAATCATTTCATATCAACAGCTTCGCACTTACCCTCGATTTAAAGTAGAGTCTTAGACAACTCGGAAATTGCCTATTAACTGAAGAAAGAATCTGACCAAAAAAAATGTCGCTACTCGAAAATTCCCCATCCTGACAAAGTAATAAAAAAAGAATAATAAAAGAATTACAAAAAAAAAAAAAAGGATAAAAAGAGGCCAATGGGCAAACGCTCGAGATGTTAGCCTTTCAGTCTTTGAAATGTTGAAATGGCTACATCAACTTCATCGTTGATAAAACTCAATTTTATTTTTCCAAGTATCTTGACTCACTAATAAGATATTTTCTTTCTTCCTTCTCAGATTGCTATTGTTATTACAGACGGCGAACAGACAACAGACCGAGGACCTTACACGCCTCTTTCAATAGCATCCAGAGGAATCAAAGATAAGAATGTTAAAGTTTATTCCCTTGGAATCGGCAGAAAAGTCAATCGAGATCAACTGAGCGAAATAGCCAGTTCAGACACTAACGTTTTTACGGCTGCCAATTTCGCGAAACTTGCATCCGTGGCGCAGAACATAGTGCAAAACTCATGTCCAGGTAAGAAAAGATAACTACGAAGTTTAGACATACTCAATGCAATTGATGATTCTCTTGTAGGTCCGGCAGCTTGTATTTTTATACCGATGTGTTGTTCCAGAAAATATCCATTCCTCGCCCCTACAGAGGGCAAAAGAAATTCAGAGGGAGGGGTTCCAAAAGGAGGCAGTTTCCGAGAGGGTGGGGGTGGCCTCTCGAGTCTTTTTTTTGTGGGGTTCCGAGTTTGATTGACAAGCAAGCTATTACTTATTTTACTGTTATCGGTGATTCAAAGCAAAAATTATTGTTTTCGTAACACTATTGTCGTCGGCTCATGCAAAAACTTCCGTTTATCTATCTGTTGCTTTGTTACACAATATATTGTGGTATTCAATGTAATCAGTGGACACGTTCTAATAAGACTTCTTCTAACGTTTTTTCAACTGAAAGGAAATAATTGAAGTTCGCTGTTTTGAGAGATGGTATCACTTGTGTGGTGCACGGCCGTATCGCCTCCATGGTTCTCAATGACTATAGGACATTTGCACGATGACGACATTTGACTACAACTACCAGAATTCAATTCGGTTTTGCTTTGTTATTTAAATTTCTCAATCCCGCTGAGGATTAAGGAACAATAGCCTTAATTTGCACAAGAAAACAACAAACTCAAGGATTCTGGTAGTTGTAGTAAAATGACGTCATCGTGCAATTGTCCTATTGTTAATAATTAAGTAAGAAAGACCTCTACAACGCAAAGTTAAATTATTTAAAACTGTTTAAGAAAAATAATAAAAAAAATTTTCTCTTTATCGCAGAAGCAATTATCTTTCGCATAAAAGTATAGTGCAACGGCATTTTTGACGTAAATGTTCTTTCCAGGGGGTACGCAACCAAGTTGGAAAATTACAGAACTTCCAGGAGGTGCCCTCCATGTGGGGGGGGGGGGGGGTATGGACATTTTTTGGAACTACACGATATACCCTTTTGAGACAAACTAATTTTTGTTGGCCAAAGTTTTGATGCCTAAAAACGTACATGTGATGAGGTACTTATCGTATCTGCAATGAAAGTTAAATCTGGAGACGAGTTTACTGCACCGCCAGTGAAAAGAAAGTAGTGGAAACAACCTCAGCAGTTTACATTGCAAATGTGTCCAGTCTGCATACAAGCAAAAATATGGACTTTGAAAAAAATTGTGTCGCCCCAGGTCATTTTATAGTATAGTCAGGCTGTGAAGCTTCCTAGGAAATGCTTTTTACATGTATTTTGTTGGGAAAAACTTTGACGTATTATTATGGTTAAAACGACTCTCTACTAGGCCCACGTTGGGCTGTTCTACGACTCTCTTATATTTGCCGTGTCATTTATGACCAAAGATTTCCGCATAGTTTTGACATTAATCTAGTGAACAAATCAGTATAGTAGGTACTGGTAGAGCAAATGGACTGGTTTACCGCCTACAACCCATACTACTCTTCCGTTTCATTTTTCATTTTTATTTTTGTAAAAAAAAAAAAAAATTCAAGAATAAAAAAAAAATAACAATAAATTAATACTACTACAAAAATATCCTTCATGTTGGCCCCAACCCCTTAGGCCACAACATTGTTATCTCCCATTTTCTCGTCATTAGTTTAATAGTTTTTTTTCTTATTCCTGTTTTTCAGAACGTGCCCGGATTTTTGCAGAATGAATAGAGTGTCCCTAACGATTGACTGACAACATTGCAACAAAGCACGTTGAAAGTGTTATCTTAATTAATCGACAGAAATGTTTCGTTAAATTTTTTAAGTTTTACCTTATTTAATGGAAATGTTTCATCACATAGCGTTAGCAAATTTTTCTCCGAATTAAACGCAGCCTAGATCATCGCCTCAAAACAGTGCGAGTGACAGATACACTAATTCGTCTTCATATTTATCTGAAAGGCTAAATCAGGAGATAAGTAATATTCTATGACACAGCATGCATTATTGAACACCTGCAGTTGGTAATTGAAGGAAAGGATACTTCAAAGGTTGATAAAATTATACAGCAAAAAATTACAGGTGTAAGATCAGTCTAGTGATATGTATATAGGACTAATTGTCTTGTGGATATGTCAGGGACCATGCAGAAGAAGCATCAGATAATTCTACGCAGAGAACCATGATCATCGTAATAAAGAAAAAGAGAGGAAAGGAAAGATATCATATGTGTTGGAATTCTTCAGTTTTGTTTCTTAAACAGGGAGCGAAATGCACGACTTCTGTCTTCATTATATCGATTTAGAAATCACTGGTGATCCCTGCAATCTTATTGGCTCTTAGGAGTGTGATTTAGTCACGAATCACACTATTTTTCTAAATGGCGTCGTCATTTCAAATTTAAATCGCACCATTTTCGCTCTATATTGCATCATTTTTGTTTCGTGTAGAAAATCAGATGCGAAAGCTTTTTTGTTTCCGCTTTTCAACAAAACGGCTATTAGATCAAATAAATATTGGTACTGAATAAATTCTGTGATTTCAAAATGGCTGTAATAAAGTGGTCATTGAACTTCATGTCGTGCAATTTTGGTCTGATATCATACTCGTGATTTCAAATCGAACCTCGCGTGCGCGCGTATGATTTCACACCAAATTGCACTGATCAACTCAGTTCAATTACCATTAGTAAACGAAAACTTGGTTTAAGAGATATAAAGAAAACCGGGCTTCCAAAAATGCCAACTCCTCTCATTACTTGGTAATTTGATGGTCACTTAACTGCATAAAGGAAAATCTTATCCGGAAGTCCAATTCCTCCCAGTTGACAAAAACAAAGCCATCGTTATTGGGCTGAAAAATGACATTGCAAAGCCATTCCCTCATTCAACCCAAATATGAAATACAGTTGCTTTTCAAAGTACAATGCAAAGAATTTCTAAGAAGAACAGAAGTCCTACGACTTGGAATTTAACTGCTTACTGACTTCGAAGACCTTCGAAGATTTTATATATGATGAGGTCACAAATCGAAGGCACGACTCTTATATTTAACAATTGTACCCAAATGCGTACGGGCTGTTAGTCCTGTCCCCGCAAAAGGAGGCTGACCGACCTTGACAGAACCAACCCTTACCCACAAGTACTCCCCACCTCCCAGAAAAAAAAAAGAAACAAAACAAAAACAAAACAAAACAAAACATAAAAGGGTATTACTTAACAACAAAAAAAAGGAATTCCGCTGGATCCTCTTAATACCAGTGAGTTATTTGGGGTTAGCCTCCCGCGCAGACGTTCTTAGGGTCTCGTCAAAGTTCCTTCGCCACGATCAAACTGTAATCACGGGGGAGATCTCATTTTGACTCTAACATAAAGCATTCGGGTCCTAGACGAATTTTGCTTTAGAAGTTTGTCTGCAACGTCTTGCTTTGTCTTGGCAACCTTAGTTTCAGGGAACCTGGCTTTCGAAACTCCGGGTAGATATCTCTAGTACTTGACCCTGTATATTAAGCTTTTAAAGGAAAGGAAGTGCGAAAACAAAGTGAGAAGTTGTCAGTAAAAATTATTCTGCTCTCGTCGCCCTTGACATATCACGTGATCTCAGCACGCGCCAGTTTGGCAGTACGTTCAAGGCAATGTAAGCAAATGGCAATATCTTAACATCTACGCGCTGGCAGAAATATTGTTAGTCATATTTTACTTCAGTCAATGACAGCCTCAAAATAAATTTTGAACAAAGGGCTTTAGTGACACAATCAAGTTTTTATGATAAGAGCTCTAGTCTAAGAGCTATTTTTAAATATTTTTTCTTACAATTTCCTTACGTTGTGTTTTTTTTAATGAGGTTACTCATTGTGAGCTGTGGAAACTAGAAGAAAATCTAATGACTGAATTTTACATTAAGCTAATAAATTCATAAATTTTAGGTTTGTTTTCAATGAGCCATGATGCCATGACAACGAAAGAAATCTGACTTTTAACCTAACAAATGAGCAAATGACATACCATGTAACTCCCAGTTTATGTCCATGTGACGTGCTGTGCATTTTAAGTCGATAACCAGGTCGATAACAGTCGACCAGGGTCGCATTAATTTTAACCGAATATTGTAAATATATATTTTTTTATAATTAAATGAAAACCGCAGTTTTGTAAAATCTGGTTCTAAAGAGGATATAAAGATCTAGCGTGACTGTGAAAGACACATCTGTCACCACGGCCAGACCCCAAATGCTCTGACGCAATTGTGTGCCAGAGGCGTCCTTGTTTAATTCTGTTAATAAGCAACTAAATATCTTTAGGTTTACATATCTCGATTAGCGCGGAGAGCACACACCGCGGTCAAGAGCTATGATGTTGCAGTTATTCCATCTGAAACATTACATCATTTTTCTTCTGTTGGGGATCTCCTTGGACAATTCAACAGGTATACGCTGTAGCTTGTAAAATGTGTTTACCAGTACGTCTAGACAATACTACAAATAGCAAGCTCAAAGGAACAAAATTTGTCTGTCACGTATTTGGACTTGATGACCAAAACCAAAAGCTTTTCAAATGGAAACTGCTGGATGAAAAAAATGATTTCATCGGAGGCATTATTGCGCTCACGCTATGATACAGCGTAGCTAAACAATTGCAAAAAGGCAAGTCGTTTTTATGAGGATAATCAAGTAGGTTATATCGCAAACAAATTGTCTGGTGCAGCCTAAGGTATAATCCTTTACGTTATTGTTTATGTTGATACTGGCAAGGCCTGACGCTCTTATTAACCGACTAAGATTGTCGCTAAGCCTTGCACCCAATGAAAACATGTTACTGAAATTCTCCAAAGAGGGAAATTCTTCTCCGATGCAGTTTTTAATTTGAAATTACTCAGAGCGAACGGTAAAAATAGCTATAGGGTGGTTGGTATTCCTGAGTTGCCGGATATAGCACAAATTTTCTCTCAAGTTCATGGTGTTTGGGAAGTCTCCGCTGTTGTCAAGCTGTTCTGACATTGTCGTATATGATTAGCAAATATATTACCGATCTTCAAGTAGACACTTAAATCCGCTCACAGTGAATGTTTAGGAGTTCATGAATACCCAAAAAGATGAACCAGAGAGGAGACGAGACTGACCACCAACGATTGTCACGAAAAGCGCGACTGAAATGAAGGTCATCTTTGTCTTTACTCTTCAGGTTAATAAAAGTTTCCTGAGACCCCCCCGTTATGGGTTTGCGTGAGAGGTAACTTTCTCAGAGCTTCAGACACTGCTGAGAAAATAACCTGAGAGCAGGTGTTATCTTTTTTTTTTTGCTTCTTTGCTTCTTTGGCTCGAGAGGGGAAAAAATAACAGATTACAGGGATAAAGGGAGAGGGCATGATCGCAGGCTACGGAAGAAAAAATTCGGTCTACTCTTAATAATGTGAAATTTTTAATTTTACAACACTGCTTTCTACCACTATGTATTATTTTATTTGACTTATTCCTTTTTTGGGGGAAAATATCTTGATGCCTATATAGGCGTTCGCAAAAAGCCCCTAGACTTGACTGGAAGCCATTGTTCGGGAAAATTACAGCAAAAGCCTTATAAACCCCCTTCTGTGAAAGAGCACGAACCCTCTCAAATCATAGAATGTAAACACCCTTGCGATAATAAGCTTATTAACTCAGGGCGAGCACTTCGGCTTAGCCTCCACGGATCGTGTTTTAGATTTGTCGGGTAGAAATGAAAAGTCACGAATGAATTCATACCGCAAATTCTGCTTTCAATGAAATGCCGTGTTAATAGGTGTAAGGTACTAAGAAGGTTGTGTACAGTATATCATAACCGGGATACCGGGGGGTCCTTCCTTATACATTCTTCCATAACTGGGACAAATAAAGTTATTTCCTATACCAGGGGTTTCTTAATATCGGGCATTTCAATGTACTAACCAAGTTGAAAAGACCTGTCGTTACAGGAAGGTATTCTCATTTCTCGGGCGTTAGCGAGAATGCGGGGGAGGAGTGCAAGGGATGCCGATTCCTTGAACAAGGTCATATGTGTCTTCCTGGTTCCTTTTTCTTCTTTCAAAATCCTTTTTAACGGACAAGGCAGAAACCTGTTTAGACTATATTCAAACAAGTTTTGCTTCTACACTATTGTTTGGATTTTAAGTTAAATCTGAAATTTATGGGTGATGTCACTGGTTCCTATTTTAAAGTCCACCAAAGGTTTTTTAGTAGGCCTAAATCTTTTCAAAAAAGTATTGTCATGATGCATGACAGACCAAGGGGTAAGAGTGGTTTCAGCTACCTCGCTTGTGTCTCAGTAACGGTGCGGATAATCCATTCTCGTGTTCAAGGCTGCAATTATTGTGGTCGGTGCCACGGATCGTCATTATGGCTCGTACAAGTACAATAGTTTTTGTTATCGTTTTGAATTTCTGAAAATGTGCCAAAAGCTGAACGACTTTAAAGACTTGATTGAATTTCCGTTTTTCATCAGTTTGGTGAGGTAATACTTCTTGGTCTTAGGTAGCATGATCATCAGGCTACAGGGTTTGGTAACATCGGAAAATCGGAAAGATCTAGAAGGAGTTGAAGAGGAGTTACGTAGGCGATTGCACCATTTTTTTGTTCCTTTAATTACTTTTTGATTTTATTTGGGCATTTGTTAAGCATTCCGTAAATAAAGCGATCTATATAAGTAATGAAGAATTATCCTTTTCCTCTATGAAAATTACAATTGAGCCTGCAAGCCTAAAGGCATGCAAACCGGGTTTGCGTTTGCGTTTGCGTTTGCAGAAAAGACCCATTTACTGTCAAAAGTAAATGAGCGTGCACTAAGATATGTTTACAAAGATAAAACATCAGCTTATTATGAACTGCTACAGCGAATAGGTTTAGGAACCACTTTGGAAAAACGTCGTGTCCAGGACATGTTAATAACTATAAACGCCTGTTTTCAAGGCACCGCCCCCACATGCATTAAGGAACTCGTTAAAATGAGAAACAACAAGTACGATTTAAGGGGCAATAATACGCTATCACTGCCAAAAGTAAATACTACAAAGTATGGATTAAACTCCTTCAGATATTTCGCCGCAAAACAATGGAACAGTATTCTAAATGAATTGCGTTTAAGAGCTGGAGGTCTAGAATTTAACAAACAAGTGAGGAACATTCAATTTTAGTTATCTAATTTTGTAATTTCAGATGCTAGATATATTTATATTTTTACATTTCTATGTACATATTTCTTTCTTTCTTTCTTAATATTGATTTGTGGAAAACCTGCAAAATAGCTTTAGCTAAGTGTTTCTCCCACGTTAAATAAAGATTATGTTATGTTATGTTATGTTATGTTGTTATTACTTAAGTTACAGTCATAAGTTCTATCAGGGGCACCCAACGAGGATATAGTTCAAAACCACTTAACATAGCATTGTTGAACGTATTTTAGTATTCAAACGGTAAATATAGGCATATTTTTATCTCCTGAAAACTTTTCATCTGTTCGGATTTCCTAGCTGAAAGTCTAGTGATCCGAAAATTATAGGGATAAAAACTTACCTTCTCGAAAATTTCAGCCAGGAAAAGGCTCCCGAAAATTCTAGGTGGCCTTTTTTAGGGTCAAAATCCGTTAAAAGTGGGTAATTATACCATTTTGTGGATGTTCGAAAATCCTAGGAGAGGCTGGCAAGCAAGAAATTTTACAACAAATGCTCCGAAAACTCTAGATCTCAAATCGTCTTCCGAACAGATATTTTCCCGAAAATTGCCGTTGGGTGCCCCTGTTCTATGGAGCCTAGAATGCTTCATGTGAGTTTTAGCTAGTTTCCAGAGGATCATATCATTACATCATATGATTTTAGCGTCAGAGAACAGATTAAGGATTGCTGACCGGTTCAGGAGACAAGTTGTCAAGGAAGGACGATGCCCGTCGTGGACTGTGATAAGGAACTGTTCGTCACTTGAACAATGCAACTGGGATGGAGACTGTTCTGGTACTCAGAAGTGTTGTAAGAGCTCGTGCGAAGCCCGATCATGTTATGAACCTCTATTGCCCATAAGACCCGATGAAGGTAATTAATGAAAATACTCTCTTAGACACTCATATATCGATTCATTATTTCTAAGGGACCTCTTGTTACTTCCTAATACCGAAGGGGACTAATTATAATTTTATGCTCGTCTTAATCTTGGTTGACTTTTCCTTTTTAGTTTCATCCCTGTAGAAGGCGTTTTGAGACTATCGGCTTCAATACGGTCATTTGACTTTTGTCGTGGGTTTAGCATTACCTCATCACTTGCCCACTCTATTGGATAGAAGCTTCTAATTATGAGCACTAGCACTGAATTACCGTATCATTTCCACCCAGCCTTAAACACGCTGTTAATTCAAGGGACGTCGCTTTGACTGTGTCGTGACGGGTTCATTACTCCATATGACAAAAAAATTATGAATTTACTGCTTCAGATGCCTGCCCTAAAGATGAAGCCCAAATAGCATCACATAAAGGCAATGCTAAATGTCTTCCGGGAAGAATAAGGTTCTGCTTTAAAGGCAACTGCAAAAGGTATGGCTTACGTTACCACCCGTTAGTATTAATAATTTTTTAAATGTCATATTTAATGTTGCAACAGGCAAACCATTATGATGATTGTAAAGTCTGTTTTTTACTTCCCTGTACCTGTATGGTAGCGTGTTTCGCCCTTCTCTATAAAGTTGTGGCCAATGGGGCTCTGAAATTTGATAAGAAAATTGTCTATTTTTGACTCCTTTCAGTCCCGATCAGCCAAAGGATCTACTCTCCTTGGCTTCTTGTTGTTTGTTTGTTTTTGTGTTTTATATTGAAGATGTAGCAAGTTCCTAGCTGTACTACAATTTAACACTAAGAATAAAACATCTTTCTTCTATAATTTTCTTCCTAAGCAACCCTCGAAGAGCACTGTTTTGATGACATTTAACTTGAAGTTGTTATTTGCAGATGTTGTTTTCACTACAGCATATGTAACCCATATCCGGAAATGCTCATGACTAAGGAAGAGTGCCAAATAGGTAACAATCTTTAAGGAAATATCTCCCAAACAATTTTTTTTACAGACGAAATATTTAGCATGACCCATTTTTTCTTTTACTTTAGCACTTTGTTCCCCAAAGATCTGTAAGTTCCCAGGAGAAATATGCCTGCTCGACAAATACAATGCTCCGAGATGCTCCTGTCGATCAAAATGCCCCACTCCACTTCCAGAAGAACGTGTCTGCGGGACGGATGGAATTCCTTATAAGAGTGTTTGCGAGCTGAACAGAACAGCCTGTATTTTGGGAGCAAAAGATATAACGATAAAGCGATACGGAAATTGCCAGTCAAGTGAGTCTCATTCATGGTTATCTTGGTAATAAGTCACTTACTAAGACTGTGATAATAAAAGGAAGTTTTTAATTGTTTATCAATTGTCTCGTAAATTTAGGAATTTAAGTTTGGGCTGTCCCTTAGAGTCTGTGATTAAGAAGTATTCGAGTTGGACAAAAAAAGACTTAAAAGTTCTAAATATTAAATGTCGTTTACTTTACTTTTTTATGCTTTTGTTTGTTTCTTTTATTCTTTGATTTATAATTATTGATTTTACAACCATTTCGGAGGTGACTTACTTCAGTTCTGTCGATTAAGGAAATTCTACACTTCATTTTAAGAAGAACCGAAAAACAAAAGCGGTGTGCCAGGTATGAGCCCCCCCAAAACATTAATATCATCAGACCATAAGTTTTCATCCATAATATTGTGGGTGACGAATTACTCCTTAATTTTGGCGCGAAATTTCAGCGTTAATTTGTAATTTCACATGTGAAATTACCAAATTGCCATGGCAACCTTCGGTACGTCTCAGTGTCAAGATGGCGATGAAGTTTTAAAATGTCATGAATGAAGATGTCAGGGCACAAAAAGACGTTTTAGAAAACCTGAACACACAAGAGAACATCAAGAAGGATTCTAACAGGTATTTTGCCGAAAAAGTCTGAAAAATTCTGAACTTTATAAGCCAAATTTAAGGTCTAAACATTTGAGAGAGTGGAGTTCTCGATCGATACGATCCAGGATAAACATGTCAAAAAACCAATATTGCTAACGTAATTCGTCACCCATGATATTAATAGGTAATCAAATGGTATACTCGTGAAATAAGGGAATAATTTCACTTGCGTTTTTGTCCAAATCCTAATAATTTCCCTCGCCTGAAGGCTCGGGAAATTATTAGGATTTGGACAAAACGCGCGTGAAATTATTCCCTATTTTCACTTGTCACCATTTGATTACACATACTAATTAACCAAGATGATTTCATTACTGACTGTAGGAGTGAGTGGCGTAAAATTCAGCCAGAGGACTAGTGCTTTTAATTTTTTTCCATTTTTGGAAATTAGAACATTGTGTTCCTAGATGATTTTTTCATTTTCATTAATTAATTATAGTTTTTTCGTGATACGATTGTCGTATTCAGACGGGGACAAAGTTACAGTTAGTACAACCCATAAGAAGAAGCAAGTTCTCCCTGCTTACAAAAAAGGGGAGCTTACGTGCCGATTTGAGGGAGTTCCTGTCAGCATCATTTGGCAAAAGGTGGGACTTCGAACTTTGCCGGACCGAATGGTACCACGTATGGGCAGGTTAGATATCCTGGATGTAGGCGTGCACGACAGTGGCATGTACAAATGCATGGCTTACGACGGATTTGGTACAGCAGAGGCGGAAATAAACGTAACTGTAAAAGGTAAGCTTGAAGTTACGGCAAAATGCTTTGTAAAGCATCTCTCCGGCAAATAATGATGCACTTTGCGTTTTAAACCTTAACTTTAGTTAATTGGATTGCCCAATTCGATAATGTCATTTGCTAGCTCGCATAGACTTTGACTCCTGTTGACTGTGAGACAGTGATAGGTATGGTACTTAGAATGGGCCATTAGTAAATGACAAAATAAAAAGAAAAAGAGGAGAAAAAGAGAGAGAGAAGGAGAGTGAAAATATATGCTCTTGCCAATTTTCAGAAAGACGGGATGTCGTAAACCCTGTTGTTGTGAAATGTTTTAGCGACAGCTGCGAAACGTTGCATTTAATTTGGTTTTTATGGTAGGACCGTCTAGCATCGAAAAAAAGATCATGCCTCGTAAAGACTGTTTAAAGCCTCGAAACACTGGATACTGTAGACTCTACAACGTTCGATGGTACTTTGATGGCAAAGATGCACTCTGCAAACCATTTGTATATGGCGGCTGCGGTGGCAACAACAATAATTTCCAGACACAAGAAGCTTGCAGTTCTGCTTGCAACCATGCAGGTAAAGAACACTGTGAAAAATTAAATAGAGTTCCTTACATGGTTTTAAAAAGATTTATCGGATTAACCAAAAAACTGCAAGGTCAATCCCAACTACCAGTGAGAGCTGTCATCACATGGCCAATGTTCTATTTGGCCGCGTAAATTGAAAAATCAACTGTGCTTTTTGTGGATAGAAAGAAATATTTTGAAATTAAGTAAACTTGATCAGAAATTTAAAAATTTTGCATAACTGTTTGCAATTTAAGACCGTATCAATTCCACCATTGTTTTCCTTTCAGCTGGAGACATTTGCAGTTTGCCAGTGATTGAAGGCCCGTGTAGAGGCTTTATGCCAAACTGGTTTTACAACGTGAATACATCACGGTGCGAGCAGTTTGTGTACGGGGGTTGCGGTGGTAATGCTAACAGATTTAGTACCAAAGCAAAGTGTCAGCAACGATGTATGGGTGCGTAAATCCTCTCTTTGCACTCAACTGGCTCTAAACTAAATGTATTTTTATATCCATACTTTCCATGTATCACAGCATCTTTGTCAACCCTGCTGAAAAATAAAGTATTCAATTGAATGACGAAGAGTCCAACCCGATATGCTTCAATTTTGTTTGTTTGTTTTTAAATTACTCGTGAGTACTATTACGGCTTTATTATTAGTACCTTTTTTGTTTACATGTTTCAAACTATTAACTCTTAGCAGGTGTTGGATTTGCAGACACCCCTTGTTTACGACAACAACTTGCTGGTAGACGTAGTAAACGTCTGGGTGCTTTTGTACCAAAATGTCGGCCTGACGGCGAGTTTGAAGAAATGCAGTGCCATGGATCAGTTTGCTTTTGTGTGGATGAAGGCGGGGAAGAAATCGTTGGCACACGGATTCCTCGGTATCATTCTCTCAACTGTAAATCACAATCACCTCCTGGTAATGGGACAAAGCTTGATACCACATAATACGAATAATGACAAGTAATCAGTAGTTTCCAATCTCCAGCAGTTGAAGTTATAGAATCAGTAAATGAGTTCTTTTCCACCGACTTCGAGAATAGCTGGCTTATAATTAGGTTATGGTTTTCGCTTAGTTTCATCTTCCTTTCCTCTCTTACATTGTATCAAGGTTATCACATTACTTTTACGCAAGTGCAATGGGTGTTGTTCAGATGTTCAGGTAACGTATGGTTGAGGTAAATTCTAAGCGTATCATAAATATCGAATAATTTATTTCAAAACCACAGGAAGTAGTTTCAAGCAAATTTGACTGTTAAAATGCTGCTTTTCCTTTAAAAAAACTGCACGGCCCTTACATGTGTCAATTTATTGCTATCTATACATTTCTAATTGTCTTTATCCCCTTTTTAGAAAGTGTTATGACTCCCTGCCAGAAGGCGCAAAAGAATTCCAGTAGTCTTCCTTTTGGTGATTCACATTTAATTCGGTGTAAGCAAGATGGCAGTTACGAGGAGGTGCAGTGCAGTGGATCAACTGGATTCTGTTGGTGCGTTGATGAGAAGGGTTTCCAACTTAATGGGACAAAGACTAGGGGACCTTTAAAGTGTCCTTCACTCGGTTTGTATGCGGCTTTATCTGTGTATGTCTATAACTATCTCAACGTCACTTTCTTTACCGAGACGTCGTTTGAGCACAATTTCTAATTATAGCCTATGAACCAAGAGCCCCCGCAAAAAAAAAAAAAATTATAAATAGAGAATATTACACGGTGGCGAGAAGATATGAATTTTATGTTCGAGTGGCAAGAACAATATCTCACGAGTGAGCGCAGCGAACGAGTGAGATATCGCTCTTGCCACGAGAACATAAAATTCATATCTTCGAGCTAACGTGTAATATTCTTTTTATTATATAAACATACTGATGACGGCGTTTTTGATGATTTACCGAAGATTTCCGACCACCTTCCGAAGATTTCCGAAGATTTTTCAAATTGTCCCGAAGACCAGACGAACGTTCCCGAACATTTTCCGAGAATTTACGGAAATTTCCGAAGATTTCCGAAGATTGCCGAGCACTTTCGAGTAAGACCCGAAATCCTTGTAAAACACTGCAGTTTATATAATAAAAATAAATAAAAAAATGCAATTTCGTAGCACACCCACGTGGAATATATAGTATCAAAGTAAAGCTTAGGGTTTGCTGAATTGTAATCATTCTATTTTTAGACATGAAACCTTAGTATAGTTGTGAAAAAGGGGATTTTTCTTGGGGTGTGGATGGGGAGTATTTTTGACCCTTAATTATTAGGATCACAAAATGAAGAAATCAATTCAACATTTCAACTCAAACTTTTACAACATATGCATTTACTGGTGAAAATTGAAGTTCATATACCCTTAGTTTGGTCACTATTTGTCATGGCAAATAAGGATTGTTGTGTTCTGAATTTTGTTATTTTTTCAATTACAGGCGTTAGCTTAACGCTTTGTCAGAAACAGTACATAACAAATTCCAGAAGTCTTCAACCAAAGCGAGAACCTCCTCGGTGTCAAGAAGATGGAAGCTTCGAGAAGATTCAGTGTCGTGGAATGACGTGCTTCTGTGTTGATACGGAAACTGGGAGAGTTGTAAAGGACACTAGCATCATCACGCTTTATGGAGAGCCTAGATGCCACGGTACAGGTAAGCAAATACTATATGAAAGATGATAATTTCTCTAGCGTGCACGCACTGCGCGTGATTAGCTTCGGCTAGTAACCATGATTTAAAAGTCGTTTTCATATAACCACGTTACGCTTTAAAGGTAAATGCCGATTTATGTCTTCCGTAATGGTTTCGAAAGTAAACTTGTTTTTCTGTTTTATGTTCGCTTGTTTTAGGTCACGGCCTCACACTTTGCCAAAGAATGCACGAAGAAGCCCTTACCAATCCTACAAAAGACATTTATGTTCCACAGTGCTCTTTCAATGGGAGTTTCGTGGACGTTCAGTGTCATGGTGCCAGCAACGAGTGTTGGTGTGTGGATCAACAAGGCAATGAGTTGACTGGAACGAGGTCCAAAGGGCCTCTGAGGTGTCACGGCTTAGGTTTGTTTCTCACTTTTATATTAACAGTGCTGTTATTGTTTTCTGGATTAGACCTACAGTATAGGCCCGTGTAAGGATTTTTGATGGGGTTTCTGCTTTGACAGTTGACGGAGTTTGATACCAATAATCCGAAATTTTCTTTCGAATTCCTTGCACAAGTGTTTTTGAGTATATTTTTAGGCCGAACGATTGACAGCCTAAACTATCGATGAGTCCTATCAGCGTATGGTTTTCAAATGAGATCCTGTGATCGTTTTGCTAAGGGTCGTCACCTAAATTTGAAACCATTTAAAGGAATTGTTGGGCGTGGTCCTTTGTTTGAAATTTCTTCATTCGTCGAAAAAAGGAAGAGAAATAAATGAAATGGAAATAAAATGCCTTTGAATTTCAAAATGGGGAAAAGAAATTCGGGAAGAATGAAGTTGCAGGTGGCAGGTCAAGTTTGTACTTCGCACTTACATCGCAGTAGTCTTAAAAAGTGTCCGCTTTAAGAATATTCTTCTATCGCCAGGAGATCAGTTATCTGCTTGTCAAGAGGAATATCAGAAGAACCTTCGTCGTCAATCCGCAAGCCGCTATGTACCTCGTTGTGCTGCAGATGGCAGTTATGGCGAAGTGCAGTGCACGGGGGGATTATGTTATTGCGTTACTCCACGAGGAGAACAGATTCATGGGACCAAGACATTTAATTCTGCCAGAAAACCAAACTGCTCTCATCCAGGTATATTAAAACCTTAAAACAAAGCGGAAATAAAGCAGTTTGTTTTAATTGTTTTCTTTTTTTTCATTTAGCAGTTTTAATGAATCTAATTGTTGTCAGGTTTTCACGTTTTGACTGAACACTAAACAAAATTAGTTCAGTAGCTTTGTTTATAAGCGATGCTGTTCGTAGGAAAACGTAGTGACATTAGTAGAAATCCAAAAACGCAATCGTAATATGCCCGCTAATACTCTCATCTGGTTACTTCAAATGACTATCTGACAGTGATAACATAGTTACATGAAAATGCACTTGATAAATCTGAGCAGAGGCCGTTTAAAATTAAATATTGCCCTTCTAAGTCTGAATATTGAAGCGAGCTGCCCATTTTGGTTGGAGATATGCAACAGTAACGCGTCAATGGCCTCATAAAAAGTTACTATTAACGCCGTCTTAATTCCCTTTTCAGATGCCAACATCAGCCCTTGTGAGAAAAAGCGCCGGGAAGCGATTTTCTTTTCCCTAAGTTATGTTCCTTTCTGTAAACCTGACGGAAGCTGGTCGGAGATACAGTGCGAACGCCTCTCAAAGAATTGTTGGTACGTGGACACTAACGGACAAGAGGTCCCTGGCACAAGATGTAATAAATCAGAAAAGACACCCGCTTTCGGTTCGTGATACTTCCTTTTCTTAATTTCCACCATAAAGCTTTTACACATAAAGTACTCATCAGTCTCATTTGAAACATGCGGTTGAACCCATGGCCGTTTTCACGAAATCTGCTTTTCTTGTTTTTCTGTTTTGTCCTGTTTTGTTTTTTTACTTCGTGGACTTCATTTTACCCATTTTCATTTTTACTGTTAAGTCACTAGGGTCAGACAAATGTAACTAACTGCAGCTCAAAGACTAAGCGGCTGGCTACTCCCTTAATTGTCAGTGTCATTCCATCGATTGATCTGTCTCTTGGTCAAGAGTTCACTCAACGCTTGCGTGCATCGCCCAGAATGCTATTGGTTTTTGCGACATGTACTTACAGTGCCCAGTTTCTCAATGCGTGGCATAATACTTATTGTATACCAACTTAGCGATTAACATGACAACTTGTTGTATCTATAACAATTCTTACTTCTTTTTCGTTTTACTTTTTGCAGAAAAGCTGAGCCCTTGCAGAAGGAGGTTGGTCAATTTGTTAAGGAGCACACAGCCTGGCAGACATCTTCCATGGTGCCGAACAGATGGGTCTTATAACCCGATGCAGTGTTCCGGCTCTTACTGCTACTGTGTATACGAGAATGGAAATGTGCAGCCTGGAACAAGGATTAGTGTCGCTGCGGGTAGACCTGTCTGCACACACATCAGTAAGCTATGATTGATTGTCCCTGTATACAATTACACTTGTCTATTTTAGGTGAAGGCTATCTGCATTTTGCCAGAGAGGGCCATCGATGGAATTGGGTAAAATCAGAGTACCTGCGGCAAATTAGGTAAATTACATAATGTTTACAGTGACGCAATTTAAAATAAGGGGCGTGACCTGTACTCGATGCGTTGTTCTTGTTTATACGTATTACTAGAGAAAGTAGCGAAAAGTGAGAGGAATGCAGTACCTTGTAGGAGTCTACTTATACATCATACTCTTTTTCATGGTAGAAACAATTCCTTGTGTAATATTTATTCGTTTACAGAATTGTCTGTCTCTTCGTTCGCTTGTTTCTCAGGTGGGGCAGTAACTTCTTGCCAACGTAGATATCGAAAGGCTCCATTTCAGCTTTCCCAAAATCTGTTTATACCTCGATGTAAACTAGACGGACGGTACGAGGAAGTGCAATGCCAGTCTACTAGTGGCAAGTGCTGGTGCGTAGACCAGAATGGAAAGGAGATTCCAAAGACCAGGTCATCTGAGCTTATAAAATGCCCTGTTGAAGGTAGTTGGCGTTTGTAATGGTGGTACTGTAAGTTTGCCATAATGCTACTGCTTCTTTTTTGCATTAAGATAGAAGATGAGAAACGAGTCATAAGGTCTTTTCTGGTGTTGCACGGAAGGCGCTGGATAAATTTAAACGCGTGGCCATAAGAGCTAGCTTTGACTCTGGCGGGACAGACAAGGATGAGGCGATGATAGATGGGTGGTATTGATTTTTCGTAACTAAAACTGATATCTCAAAAAAAAAAAAAAATTCACCAGCGCAAACAAATCATAAGGCTCAAAATCCATATCATTTTTGTAGAATTTATGTGGCACCGTGCTGTTATTGAGGAGTTGGTAATTTGGAATGAATGGGCTGCAGCATTTATTGTGTTGTTTCTTCCTAGTATTAAAAATCAACGCCAATAATTTGTTAAATTTAAATCAATAGTCAGTCCTTTGACCTCATGCCAGAAGCGCTACATAGATTACGCAAAGAATCCGCTTCCAGGACTGATGATTCCAAGGTGCAAAAGGGATGGCACTTTTGAGCCTACACAATGCAAAGGACTCGACTGCTTTTGTGTTGATAAAGAAGGAAATGAGATCAAGGGAACTTCTTTGCCAGTTAGACTCGGAAAACCTAACTGTGACCTCCAAGGTGTGTATGTTGATTGTATATTGTTTGTTTTTTAATACACTGAGTACCTTATTCATTGACTGCATTGACTGCAAGTCATGCCACACGCAGAAGCCCACAACAAGCAAGAAAACCATCATTTACCAATAATTAATTCTACAAAACGGCCAGTCCTAGAAAATTTGACACTCTCCATTCGTTCTCCCACTTCTAAATACATTCTTTTACTGGAAATCCTGCGTTAGCTCTTCGTTTTCCCTTCAATTCCCGATGTTTTCCTTGAGGTGAATGTTGTATTTGCTGAAGGGATTCAGTTTGTAAAATAACCCCGGGGCTGTTGCCGGTTAACTAAAGGGAAACATTAACACTTCCACTATAACAAGGATAACGTTCCCGAAAACGTGAGAACCTCTAGGTTGTCAATCTGCGGGATCGAAGTGTCATGGAATGACTTGAAAGTTATTGTTATTATTATTTTTTATTTATTTCTAACTATGCAATCAAGTGGGCTGGGTCAAACCCAAATGAAAACTTGCATGGACCATTGGTAGTTATATTTTTTACGTAACAGTTGAAAAAGCTCATTTCGTAAGTTTTTTGGGCAGATACAGAACCTCTGTCCATTTGCCAAAGACAGCACAGCGAGGCATTAAAACTTCCCGCCAGTCCTTTTCGTTTCATTCCCACATGCAAACGTGATGGTAGATTTGAAAAAATCCAGTGTCTTCGAGCTACAAAGCAATGTTGGTGTGTAGATGAAAACGGGCAGGAAACCTTTGGAACGCGGACCACTGATGACCTCAAATGTCCTTCCGCAGGTTAGATATCAGACATTTTTAATTCGTTATGGCGCAGACATTAAGCTATTACATAAATCTTGGTTTTCGATGCGCTTTTGAAAACCTCCATTTACGACTCAACATAAACCCATCGGAAGCTCTATTTAGACTTCTTTTGTATTTTCTTCATTCCACAGCTTCTCCCTTAACTCAGTGCCAAAAGGAGTATCAAGAAATTCTCAGAAGCTGGATTTTACCAGGGCCTTATATACCTCAGTGTACACACGATGGAAGATATGAACAAGTGCAATGCCAAAGACACTACTGCTACTGTGTAAACGAAAATGGAGTAGAATATGCGGGAACACGGGTAGATATCACTGAAGGAAGACCCAAATGTCACACTGGAGGTGATCCTTTTTGTCTTTTTACTCTTTGAAATTACACTGTGGAATTACCTTGGACAAAATTAACCGCCTGTTTTTGTTGCTCACGAGGAGGGATATCAACGAATGGACAGCACATCATTCATTAGCAATGGGCCAATTCCGAAACACAGTATATGTATTTTTAAGATAGTTCATACACTGCTCCAAGACTTAGAGGAGTAACTGAGGAGAATGATCGGTTTAATATGTGGACCTCAATGTAACTTCCTTTGTTTTATTCCTCCTTTAAGCTTTAAGTATTTGTCCAATTCTGACCTATTTATTCTGTTATACAAAAATGTGTTTTTTAATCCCTTTACATAGAGTTCTCTGCAAGTGCTCTACCATTTTTGTTTACCTTTGATCTTTTGATCTTATATTGCAGGCCACACCCTCACTTTTTGTGAAAAGCACTTTCAGGACTATCTTCGACATCCAAAGCCGGATCTATTTGAGCCTCATTGCAGTAAAACAGGGGCCTTTAAATCTGTTCAGTGTCATAAATCAGAATGCTTTTGCGTTGACCAAGAGGGAGCTCAGATTCCACACACAAGAAGGAATATTGCGACAGGGAAGCCCGCTTGTTCCTGGCCAAGTAAATAAACTAAATTAATAGGAAAACTATTGACGCATAAGCTATAATCATCACAAGTTTTCATTTTTTTGGGTTGAGACAAATTCTTGCTACACTCCCTGTGATAGCGACAGCTGTCAGTTTTGTCAATGGCGATTTTCTGCGTCATCTGAGTTAACATGTAACAAGTCCATGAGACGGTAAAGAGTTGTGGAATTCGGTTCAGGCAGATCTAAAATTAAAAGGCATCGCTCGTGCCTCCCCAGAGAGTGTCGATTAGGCAATTACTCTAGACCCTTTGTTCAAAAAAAGTAATTCAGATCGATTTCTGCATGTGGTTTCTTCTGGAATGTTTTACGTTTGGTGCTTTTTATTAGGAATGGCTTTGACCAAGTGCCAGAAGCTTCTGCAAGAGTCAATATCCCGGCCAACGGATCCTAATCGGTTTGTTCCATATTGTAAATACGATGGTAATTACGTGGAACTACAGTGTCAAAACTCCTCTGGGTTGTGTTGGTGTTTGAACAAAGACGGTAAACAGCTAAATTTAACAGCAACAAACCAAACAGTCAAGTGTCCCGGCATAGGTAAGGTAGTTTTTCCACTGAACCGTACGTGATGTTTATAGCCTTTGCTTTGATACCCTGGCATTGATTATTAGTGATGATAGGATGGGTGGGGTTTCGTTTTGTCAATTCTTTGTTGCAGTAGGGGGCGCTTGTATTAGTTTTTGAATGATTATTTTGTCACTGAATGATACGTTTTATCCCTCCATCGTTGCAGAGACTGATTCTCTATGCTGGAAACGCTATCAACAAAACATTAAGAGTGGCATTCCAGGCTCCCATGTTCCATGGTGCAGGCCTGACGGAAGCTTCTCTCCTCTACAGGTTCAATCGTCTCAGTTTTTCTGTGTCAACAAAATGGGTGATGAGGTGTCTGGCACTAGCGTTGATATGAGCCTTGGTAAACCTGACTGCCATGCAGCTAGTAAGTAAATCAATGATTTAAACGGAAAAAAATCATGGCGCAGAATGCCTATTGTTCTCGGGACTGCGTGGCAGGCGTTAGAAAGGGAAGGAGAAGGGAATTGGTTCACGAGACAGCTTCTCACGAGCCTAAAATCCCCTTTCCACGCAGGCTAAGAAACTAAACTTGCCTTTTTGTGGGTATTTTCATAGGACAAAAGTTAAACCGGAGAAAAAAAGATCAACTGCGCGAACGAGATCTTAATTATGTCGTAAATAAACTGACTGAATGTTAAATAGTAAAATAATGATGACGGGTGCGGTTAATCTTGATGTTAAACCAAAAACCATTCTATTAGCCACCAGTGTAAGAGTATAACACACCCTAGGGATAAGATCAAGAATAACAAGCGAACAAAATAGACTTAACAGTATTATTTGTTTTGATTTGAAGCATCTCGTGGATTTATAGTAACGCCTTGTCAACGTGAACGTGCTCGTCGCTCCCATCTTCCGTTGATGCCTGGAAAACATGTTCCCCGTTGTAATGTTGACGGGACGTATGAAGAAGTACAGTGTGACATTGCGATTGGACAATGTTGGTGTGTGGACCGAGATGGTAGAGAAACAGAAACAACAAGGACTGAGGGAGTCATTAGATGCGGTGCAGGTACTTTGATTTTCCTGACCCGGGTTGTTCAATCGCTGGATAGCACTATCCACCAGACAAATCACTATCAAGCGGATAAGTATTAGAGAAACCAATTGCGCTACCCAGTGGATGGAGATTTATCCAGTGGATAGCGTTATCCACCATTTGAACAACTGGGGCCTGGATTATACAAAGATTTGTTCTGTAGCTTCTCTGACCGACAAGAGCGTTGTTCGTTTTCTTCAGCATGCACAGGTTCTATATCAAATTCTTCTGGCACCTGCTATGTTACTAGTAAATTTTTTCAGCGCAAAAATATATTTTCATTATTCGCTTTTGAATGCGATTTCTTTCGTCACTTTTTAAGGTATACAAATTCCCTTTTGTAGAGAATCTTACTTCATGCCAGAAGCATCAGAGAAGGGCCAGAGAATTTTCGAGAACTGGACCAAATTCCTGGAACTTTATACCGAGATGCAGGGAAGACGGCGGGTATTATGAAGTGCAATGTCACGTGAGCTCCGGCCAATGTTGGTGCGTGGACCAAAATGGCAATGAACTTTGGGGCTCTGTGACGCGGGGATTACCAGACTGCTCAGGTAAATAGAGGTACAAGATAACTCGAAATTAAACTGCATTTACTCAATTGCCTGCAAGGCTCCGATGGCAAGGCTCAACCCACAGTAGCTGGAAACTCGTGATAGGGTAAAAGTTTAGAAAATGTTGGAATGAATTGAGAATCGTGACTCTGTTCCATACAAACTAGGAAATTTCCACAATTAAATTCCCCATTGAACACCCTGTCATCGTTTAAACAAAAGCGGGCTCATTCAGGGCACATTGTTGTGTTTTTTAGAGCCTCTACAGTTCTTTCTTTTTTGACCACCACAGACTTGTGTATCAAAACATTCCTCCTCAGGTAAATTGACGAAATTAGGCAGTCATTGAATTTCTGACCCCTACTCTTAGGAATTATTTATGGTAAGTACATACATTCATATTCTGGAATAATTATTAATCATATAATATCTTTTTTAGTGAATATAACCAGTTGTCAAAGTCATCGAAGTCGAGCCCTTAATTTGGCAGGGAATCCAGCCCCGGGTACCTTCGTTCCGCACTGTAAACCCGATGGAAACTACGACGAAGTTCAGTGCCATAGTTACACTGGCCTCTGTTGGTGTGTCGATGAACATGGAAGTGAGATCCTGGGAACTAGGAAGTGGACAAGACCTCGGTGTTCAAAACTTCCGACAGGTGAACAGACTATTCCTTACTCTTTAAATGACAGACAAAATTGGCACAAGCTTTCGGTGAAATGACTTATTGGATCATATGAATGGACAGAAACAATTCTCCAATGATTGCCTTTGAATACCATTGACTGTTTATAACATACGAATGTCCACCCAAACGATCATTTAACTACTGAAATTGAAATTCGCCACGGTGAATCAGCACGGTGTAGGGAATGAAACAGGGCTTGCGTCTCTGCAATTGACATCAAGCCCTTCATCACCCATCCAGCTAGCCATGAAAGATTGCACACACCACCGGGGTCTACCTCCCTCTACTCTTAACGATCAGCGATGCGGGTTATTTAACGTCCACAAGAATAAGACCAGTGAAGGAGCTGTAAGACGGGATCACGGTTTTCGTCCTTATCCCCAAAACAGGAATGTCAGACTATTTTTAGATATCAGAAGATAGATGGCGGCACATTCTCCTGGCCCTTTTTATCCGGCTGGGGTTTAGACTCGCGACTTCCCGCTCGGCAAACAGGCGCTTATTCTGATGGCTAAGAGGGGACCTTTTCGGTCGCCGTCCCTTTTTCTAGCGATAGTCTGTACCTTTACCGGATACAGTAGACGTATTCAACTATTAAGTCATTGCTAGCTGGTTATGAAGAATTAGCCTGGGGATTTTACCAGTCAGAAACTGAGATAAATTTGTAACGAATAATCAATAGGTAAAAATCGTCAGATAAAAACCCCAGATCATTTTCCCTTGATTTATTTTTCTCTCTAGAACATGGAACTCCCCTCGACCTTAGTATTCTAATTGATGCCTCCGATACAGCTGTTGCCAAGAACTGGACAAAAATGAAAGCATTAGCGTCTTCAATCGTCGCTTCTTTTAGAATTTCCTCCAGCGAAACTCATGTTGGTATTGTATTGTTCAGCCGCGATGCCGAAATTCCGTTGTATTTCAACACTTTACAGGAGAACAACCTCACAAAGGAAAATGTGCAGAAAGTTTTAGACAAACTAAAGCCTATGCAAGGGTCGAGTCGATTCGATGTAGCAATGCAACTGACCGAGGAGGAACTGTTTAACGAGGCGAATGGAATGAGAATCGAAATACCCAAGGTGAGAAACGTGCTTTTTGCACGTATTAATGTAGCAAAATCTTAAAGTTTGAAATAGCAGAGAAAAACCTGATGTACCGTCAGATTGAATTCATACCAAGAACTCATAATAAGTGCTTCCTCCGATTGGTATTGACACTGAAACAGCATTCTGAAACACTTGTTTCAAAATTCGAAGTTTCCTCGAAAAGATGGTTTTCTTTAGCAACGTAAGGAGTCAGTGACTGTCCATCGTTATCAGAGCTAAAGCTATACATCGAAGTGGCATTGTTTAAGTCGCCCTAACAATCACGGGAAAGAAAGTCGCGCAGAAGAAAATGGATGGTATAATGTACCGTATGTCTGTTCACGAACGTTTAAAGCTGTTTTTTTTTTCATCCTGTTGACCAATAAAAAAGATAACATTGTACTTAAAAATGACTTTGTTAACCCTAGGTCATTCTTCTGTTAACGAGTAGCAGTCAGACGAAAAATCAGGGTCCTTACACCCCATTGTTAGCTTCTGCTCAAGGTCTGCGGGACAGAGGTGTCTTCATTTATGCTTTTGCTATTGGTGACGAGGTGAAAGTTTCGGAGCTTATGGACCTAACTTCAGATTACAGAAATGTTTTCTCTGCGGATGATTTCAGCTCACTTCAGTCAAAGTTCAAAATGTTGACAGAGGTGGTCAAGAATGAGACTAAAGCTAATTCTAAAGGTAGGCTTCAACTAAGTCTGAATGCTTTCAAAGGTTTCAAAGATGGGTAACAAAATCACAATCAGAAGTAGAGGACATGTCTTAGAAAGTTATTTCAGCTGAGATCTGTGTTAGTGCCCACAGGTAGGTTGCCATAAACCCCGGGCTAATTTCTGTCGATTTTTTTTATTGGTGACCAGGTTCTAATTTTCATTTGACGCTGACCAATTTACGCGAATAGACATGTTCTAATTAAAAAAAAAAAGGTTGTCGAAGGTAGTTGCAGCAAAGCGCATTCAGTACAACCTTTTTAAACGTCTAACTGGGCTTCCTTATAAACCACTCTGTTAACTTTCTCACTCAGTTTCATGGTAATTTTGATATCTGGTTGAATTTTTGTTAATATATGCTGTTTTAGAATGGCTTTGCAACCTCGCTCCTGAACCTGGTCAGCTTGGGTGTCTTGGATCTTTAACTGCGTTTTACTTTGATGCGGCCTCAGGAGAGTGCCATTCTTTTGTATATAGTGGATGCGGAGGCAATGCCAACAACTTTCCTTCTCATGAAAAGTGTATGGACACTTGCAAAGGTGACAGTTTCTTATTAAACTATTAAGAAATTATTGAATTCTGATGGCTGCGATGTCGTTTTAGATATAATGTTGATCGAAGTTACTCGTTATGTGTTCTGCGTTGGAGAAGGGACAGTGAAAGTAACGAATATGATAATGACAAAAAGTAGCACAAACTAGCAACTAGCAAGTAGATATAATTCAAAAAGGCATCATTGTCTCCAACTCTGATAACTGACTTAATAAATAATAATTTTGATTGATTGTATAGTTATAATGCTTTACCCCCAGTTACACAGAATTATAGTCTTAGTTGTCTACGCAGAGACTTTTAATTTTAAAAATAGAGAAATTTAGAGTGACGTTCAAGGCAAGTGGCAAACGTCATATTCAAGTTGGAATTTCCCAAAATAGAAAATTTTTAGCTAAAAAAGTCCAAAATTTGAGGTAGAAGTAATGAACATTAAAGCACGAGTTAAGGGAAAATTTGGTCACGTGGTACAAATTCAAGTTTGCCGTTTGCCTTAAAAGTGACTCTAAATCTCTCTAATGTCATTTTTGCAGTAACTTGCCCTAATTCTGTACGTGTATTATGTTGAGTCGTAGATAAAATGTAACCCAAGACGTTTTTTGCTTATTGTTAAACAGGAGTTCTCCCATCTTGTTTGGCTGAAGAAAAACGCCTTTCCGCCCTACAAGTAGGTCATTTTACTCCGAATTGCAAACCCAACGGCAGATATGAAGACGTACAGTGTTACGGCCAGACAGGATACTGCTGGTGTGTTGACGAGTACGGCAAAGAGATGGAGGGTACTCGAGTCATAGGCATACCAATGTGTAGCCTGGCAACCGGTATGTTTCTTTTTGTCCATAATTATATTAATTTCTTATTTACCGGGTAACTACCCAAATTAACTTCAGTGTGGGCCACTGAACTATGCTTTCTTATAATTTAGCATTTGATAGCAATTTTACTAGTTCAAATGTTTGTCAGAAAAGGGCTGCCGTATTTTATTATTACTGTTATTTTACTTTGTTAGCCTTCGGTAAACTTACGCCATGTCTTAAAGAAAGACGCAGAGCTCTGGGATTGGCGGGTGTTCCATCAGTTGGAAGGTTTGTCCCTGAGTGCATGCCAGATGGGCAGTACTCACAGATGCAGTGCTTTGGAAACACAGACTTCTGCTGGTGCTCAGACAAAAGTGGTTATGAAATTCCTGGCACACATCGATGGGGAACGCCGCAATGTCCAGTTGAAGGCGAGTGAATCCATCTTTACGCTTCGTATTGAGTTTAATGCCAGCGACATAACTTCAGCAACTGCATGATGTTTTGTTGAATTGTGTCTTTTGCTATAATAGTTTTGTTTTTCTTGTGGTTTGGAGTATTATATATTTTCGATTGCCATCGACCTTACATTTTTTAAAGTTTTTTGAAAGACATGATTCAAACAGTAAACATAAATCAGGAATATTCGGGAGCTAACGAAGGTACCGAAACAAAGTGCATTTACCCCATTATACTTTGCCTGAGTGAGTAACAGGGAAACATAATTCAAACTCATCGCCCATAGTTGAACTTGGGAACTGGTACCTTACAAGTTAATGGGGTAGGGTGTAAAATACTCCAGGCACAGCAGGGAGGAATCCATAGTAATCCCGCAAGCGGGAATCACCCCTGCTGTGGAACCTGAACCAGTGGAAAAGAGGGAGTGAGGATGGGGCATATGGAATCCGCAAAATTTGCATAAAATGACGGTGAATGGATCCTCAATGATCCGTAACGAAAGCAAAACTAAAGCAATAAGTAAATCTAAAGGGGAAGCCCCCGCCTAAAACGTGCTCGAGAAAGTAAGGCCACTGGTCGCATTTGCTCAAGTTTAACCTTGCCTAAAATAAGTTTCGCCACATTGAAATACTTTGCACTCTTTATAGTTCGACCTGGCGTGTGCCCGTATGTCTCAGATCCAACTAAATGCCCAGCAGAAATGACTGAACAGACATGCTCACGAGATAGCGACTGTACCGGATCTTCCAAATGTTGTGATTGTGGATGTGTCAGGCGTTGCACATTTGTTTCTTTAAATGAAACAGGTAAGAAAATTTAGATTAGAGAGACTACTAATAGTCTCAGTGAAGGTGTGTCAGAAAGATCAGTGGGCGTAACTGCGCTTATGTTTGAGAAGAGAGCAATAATATCCTGGTAGCTTCTATTCAGCAACTTAGATTAAGAAATCTCATTATTTCTTTTTGGTTATTAAGTGTTCATAATCTGCAAATTCGTGTTTCAAAAACTAGTTGCAGCCTCAGACTGTGTCAGTGAACATGCAAAGTCGCTGTCCTCCTCGTGTCCTATCCTCAAAGCAATCGGTCGATTCTTCCCAAAATGCAAACCTGATGGAGGATATGAGCAACTGCAGTGTGGACGATCTGGTTTTTGCTGGTGTGTGGACGAGGAAGGAAATGAAATTCCGGGATCAAGACAACATGGAAAACCTAATTGCATGAACCAAGGTACTTGAATCACGAGAAAGCGGTAGATATGATACCTGAAATAGTGACATTGTGAATTCTGTGTCTTTTAAATATGTAGTTAATGTCAGTAGTCATTGCCTTAATACGTATGCCTTTAAGGTACCATGACACAATGTCAGCTGGAAAACAAGAGGGATTTGAATATTCGCAGTAGGAGTCTCATCGGCGTATTCATTGCAAGCTGTCAGTCTAACGGTTCATATGAGCCGATTCAGTGTCACAATGCGACTGGTTTCTGCTGGTGTGTTGACAAGCTGGGAAATGAACTGGCGGGAACTCGGCAATGGGGAAAGCCCACCTGCAAAGTGTCTAGTAAGTTAATTGTTGCAATTGCTGTGGGCAGTTACTTGTTTGTAAAACTCAAAATTCTTCCATGAAGAATTCTTTACATGAAGAAAAGGCGTATCTAGTTCCTGAAGAAAGTCAAACTGAGGTTCGACTTTCGTTTGATTGAATTTCAGAATGAATGGAATTATTTCCACGTTCCGTGCGCGATCGTCGCACATGACGGCGCAATCTCTAAGAGATAAGTCCTCTCCTGTTGGCTTACACGACGCTGGATAGCACGCAAACTATTTTAATGTATCGTACGTGAACTATTACGCATATCAACTAAATCAACTAAAGAGGCTTGAAGAGCGAAATAAAATATATCTCAAGACTTTTAGTTCTTATTTTTAAAACTTGTACAAGCTCGAATGATTAACCATTGTAATAAGTTGATAGCCACGTGGTAAAGGTAGCGTGTAATAATGAAAATGATATATCATGGCGGATATTTGTTAAGGGAGGCATGGATAAAAGTATGTTCTATTGCTTTTGAAAAGAGAAAATGTTAATTGACCTTTGCTAACGCAATACGTTTTGTTGTTCACAACAATTTCATCATCTGTGAAAGAAAAGTAAAATAGCTCATAGTTACGTTATTGAGCCATGGCAAAGGTGCTATTAAAGTTACTTAAACAACCGGATTTTCTTGCTTCACCTACCAAAGCAATACACTAACCTCTGTCGTCCTTTTCATGGCTTGGTAGATAAAACTATAACCGTCTGTCAGTCACGTAAAGATGAATGTCTGGACAACGCTCCTCCTGGGCATTTCGTTCCTCATTGCAAGGCTGATGGTTCACACGAAGAAAGACAGTGTCTTCAGTCTACAGGGGAGTGCTGGTGTGTTGACAGAAATGGGAATGAACTGCCCGGGACACGGTCCAAGCAAACGTTTGACTGTTCTTTACTTGGTGAGTCATATAGCTCTAGGAAAAGCTATATCCTACAATGACGAGGCATTTATTGTCGAACATGATGACGATAACATCAGGCTGAAGCTAATTAGCACAGCCCAATTAACAAAAAATTTCCTACTTTGCTCCTTCTAGGTTTTCTCTTGCATTTATTTTTCTTATGTAAATAAGAAGTACAGTCAAATCCTGTTAGTACGGACTCTGAGGGGGTCAGACAAAGTGTCCGTATTAGGCGAGTTGTATTTAGAGAAAATGTTAGTACTTTCTTTTCCCAGAGACATGCAAACTGTCCGTGATACTGAGGTGTCCTTATTAAGCGGGTGTCCTTAAAGCGGGGTTTGACGGTTTATATGATTGTACGTTTTTTTTTGTATGATTGTTTTCTTTTGTAGCATGGCTTAGTCCTTGCCAAATCCAAAGGCGCCAGGCCCTAGGACTGAGAGGAGTTCCAGTGGTGGGTTTACATGTGCCTGAGTGCAAAGAAGATGGGGAATACAATGCAGTGCAGTGCCACATGACGTCCGGGTATTGTTGGTGTGTGGATGAACTTGGAAATGAAGTCCAGGGAAGTCGCAAGAACGGAAGACCTAGTTGTGGTAAGATATTCACAGAACGCAATAAGCAACGATCCTAACTGTACAAAAAGATAAGTACGGGTTGCAAACATTGCAATTTGTCGCCATCGGGTAATGTTTGTCCATAGGGCCATTTGTACGAGGAAAAATAAGACGCGTCTTAAATAAGACGCGAACTGTACCATTTATACGAGCATGTCTTATCTAATAAGACGCGTCTTAGCTAAGCCGCGTCTTATTTTAGACGAAATGTGCCGTTTATACGGAAAGTTCGCGTCTTATTTAAGACGCGTCTTACATAAGACGCGTCTTATTTCTCCTCGTATAAATGGCCCTAATAATACTTTGACAAACTTGTTAGAAAAAAAAATCAATTGTTATCTCAAAATACACCATGGGGAAACAGAATGTGAACAAAAAAAAATATAACAATAATGATGAGAAAAGTTTTAACCAATTTTCTTGCTTTTTGTCTCGCGAATGGTTAAATTCTATTAGTTAATCCAGAATGTGGGTCATTTGGATTAAAGCAAAGCTGTAGTTAGTACTACTGACATGTAAATTCTTTTTTAGCTCCAAAAGAAAAGGAACCACCCTGCAAACAGGCTAAAGAAATATTAGAGTCGTTCCCACAGCCTCCTCCTGGGATGTATGTTCCTCAGTGCCGAGAGGACGGTGGATACCGAGCTACTCAGTGTCATGGCTCCACTGGATTTTGTTGGTGCGTGGATGAGTATGGGAACGAGTTGACGAATACGCGAGTCAGAGGACCTCTTAACTGCTCAGGTTAGACAAGCGAATCTTTTCCCACTTTAACAAATGGTCTAAGCGTGCGCAAAAGTTAAAAGGGTAAACGAGGCAAAGATTGGCTGTAATTGTTTTGGTTAAAACTAAGACAACACGAATACTAAAGACACTATAGTGATCGAGGCCTATGACAAGTACAAATTACAGCTGGTTCAGGAATGTGCATATAAAGTAAAATATATTTATTTTTAAAGCCTTGCGCTACAGTGCCTTCTTGACTTCTTAGGATTGTTGCCTCTTTGAATAACATAAAATTAAGACTTGTTGCTCCCGCCACTGGCAAAAGACAGAGAAAAAGTCATTCATGTTATATCATTCTTTTACATAACGATCAACTGAAAAGTGCTTTTGGTCTTGGGAATTTGCTTTGAACTATTAAGAATAACAACTAATCGGGAATAAAACAAAGCCGTGAGAAGTTATCGGTTTTATATTACCGTAGAGTTCCGATAGTAGCGACCCTCGTTACTTTCGGAATTAGCAGCCTATCTTACAGTCGTTTACAAATAGAGCTGGCACGAGCTTTTTTCCGATTGGTTTAATCGGTGAATCAGCAGATATAACACTGACTTCAAACTGCTTCGATTGTCCTGCATGACGCACCGCTGCGTTTTATCCCCCGTACCGGTATCTCAGTGTCATTTAATTGAAAACTTCATAATCCAGAAAACTTTTTTTCAATTTCAATTTCCGAAGAAACGTTCCTGTTGTTAATACGGAATTATGCCGGTTTACGGTAGTTCTTACATCACTATTTCAGTGAACTGATGTCAAGGACGAATGGGGGCCAGTAAAGCTTCCCCTTGTTGTAAATTAAAGTGCCTTATCGTGAACAATTTGTGACACTGCACGAATATATTATTGTATATTAAAATTTTGACCATTGATTGACCAATTAAAGGTATACAGTATACAATTTAAAAAACTTGGTCTCGCTACTTTCTAGGGGGAGGGGGTTGCTACTTTCGGGATTTACTAGCGTCCACAAAAAATTGACGTTAATTTCGGGGGGTCGCTACTTTCGGGGGGTCGTTACTATCGGAACTTTATAGTAACTTGTAAACTTCTTTTCTTTCGTCAGCAATTAAAGACCGAAAGCTGTCATTATGTCACAGTCGTTTTAATGAGGCTGTTGTGGTCGATGAACAGGGCCATTATATTCCACAGTGTAAAGCAGATGGATCCTATGAACAGGTTCAGTGTAACTCAGCGACAGAAGAGTGCTGGTGCGTTGATAAAAAAGGACTAGAAAAAACAGAAACAAGAACATCAGGGCAACCTCACTGTGATCATGAAGGTACCTGCATTCTTGCCAAAATCTGATTGTCGATCCTTTTTCATCGCCCATGAGGCTGCGATTGGTTATTATGCGCATCGATAAAATTTCTTTACTGATTTGCAGCTTTAAACGTCCTAATACTGTATGTTCTTAAAAGAGTCAGTAGTAGATAATATTTTATAGTTTGGCCAGTATACTTCTTATTGCCTCTTCCAGTTGTTAAAAAGTCTTAAACGCATTCTAGTAGGAGCTGCCAAGATAAAAGTTCCTTTTATAGTTTATTTTTAAAGAGTTTCTTTGCTACTTAAAAAAAGGAAGGCACTCGTGGAAGCCCGAATTATCAATGACTGAGTCCCATCCCAATACGATTTCTGAGGACTTCTCCACTTATTCCTCCCCGACTCCAACTCTGGTTTATTCTTCAAATCACTTACTTTTTCCATTTTAGTCGCTGAAAACAGCTGCCACTTGCCCCCAGATCCCGGACCGTGCGAAGCTTTCATGCCTTCTTGGTTCTTCAACAATACTGCCCGATCGTGTGCTGTGTTTATTTATGGAGGATGCAATGGGAACAAAAACAGGTTTCCCAGTTACTATGATTGTCAAGACAGTTGTAATGGTAAGTTGTATCGGTAGTTAAAAGAGACTATACTGATCATTACACTTACCTTGCAGGAGAGGATAAAGAACAGTGAAAAGGGTTTGGGCTCTTGATCCAGTGAAGACCCGTGGCAAGTCCAGAGACAACCAAGGAAGCTGCATCTGTAAAATGTTGATGTTTTTCCTTTTTGCGTTGTGAAACGTATATGGTAAAACGACAACACATAGACTGTTTACGGCCCTACAGTGTAGTATAGACTTTTAGACAAAATGTCTTGCCAGGTATGAGGTTAAGACATGTTTTGGAGTTGGCAATTTAGTAAAATCGTTATTATTGTAAGGATCAAAACTGCTATCGACCCTCATAAATAAACTACACGAACTCTCAAAAGGCATTATACTTCCTTCCTGTTGTAGCAATACGTTTCAGAACTTCATTTAACACCGGCTGATTAGTTCAATTCGTTGGGTACCAGACTCCAGCCTCCTCTCTTGGTATGCATGATTCTTAGCTGGACCCGGCTACTCTCACGGTATATATTAAAATAACTGATGGGAAGGTCCTGACTTTGTTTCACGTCTGCAAGGGATTAGACCGTCTATCTTTTTCGGAAAAATGAAGACAAATCGTAGACCCCAAGGGAAGTGACAAATCTGTCACAGTGACCATCGCCTTGTGTGCTGTTCTTGGTCTTGGAAATCTGTGCGTGAGCAGTAATAAATGACAGGCTATATGTGTCTTGTTATCATTTACATTTTCCACGCATAAAGCAGAGCAATTTTTGTTTTACACCTACAAGCAATAAATATTCGACACTAGTGTCACTTTTGCCGATTTACGTTATCATTTTTCAGGGCGAAATTTGACTTTCTGTGAGTTACAGCGAGAAATAAACAGTGCGCGCTTGGACGATTTTATCCCTCGTTGTGCAGGAGACGGTGAGTTTGAAGTTGTTCAGTGCCACAGTATATCTGGGGAGTGCTGGTGCGTGGATAAAGCTGGCCTCGAGATTCCCGGTACCAAAACACTGGGTACACCCAAATGTGATGAATCTCAAGGTAGGCATAAATTCTTGATCGTTATGTTTACCTCGTTAGGTCATGTAACGTTCACCGTTGGTGAAGCTTGCCTTGTTTTTGGGAGTTTTTACCTTGATCCACTTACTTCTGGCGTATCGAGAAATGGGCTTACTGTTAAAACAAAGTATTTATACTTGAACGTCATCGGTGCATCGTTGTAATTGAACTGTTCCATCCTTTTGGAAAAATGCAATAGGTCTCATCCATTGTTCATCGCAGCCGCTAAATCCTTCGTGTCATCCTTACCTGTTGCAATGTTCTCAGTGATTCTTCGAGAAACTAAATTTGCGTAGCAAACATTTTACCGGGAATTTGATTATTTTTATTTCAACAGAGAATTTAGGTAGAAGAACAAGATGAACGCATGTGTCAAGCAGTTTACTCAATACAAAGCAATGCTGCCGTGACCAACGCTATGTAGGAAAATTTTGCTTTTGTCAAATACGTTAGTTTGCGTCACATGGTTCTTTAGAGAGTGATGGATGCAAAAGTAACAGGACATCATAAGCGAGCGTAGTAAAGTTTACCTTATCTTGTATTTATGCTCTTTTTAAAAATAGATGGAGATTCTACTTCCTTGTGTTCTTAAATAGCAACTTGCGAATATTTTTTTAATGCTTAATTCCTCTCTCTCCCTTATTTTTTTCCAACATTCAATACTGTAAGCATGACTTATTGTCTCTGTCCCACGTTTTCTTGATGAATGTGCCTTAAGAATCCTTGCAGTTTAACTTTTTCCGCTGGTGTATTAGTCCCGTATAGGCTTAATTTTGTCGCCATTTGTCGTTTTAAAAACAACAACCACTACAACAACAAAAACAACTGAAAAACAAAAACAACGACAACAGCAACAACAACAACAACAAACAAAGAAGTAAACAAAAAAATCTTGTTTAGTTAACGACGTGGATATTGTTAGCACCCCATATCTTATCGGCTGGTCTGAAAGGAGATCAAAGGAAGGAATGTTCTCATTTTTGTAATGTAGAGCTATGTTATTATTTATTTTATGTTGTCTCGGTATTTTTAGTTTTTCACTTTCACCTAGATTCACATAATGTATAAATGTGCCAAACGAAAGGTTCGGTTACTAAAGCAGGAGCACTTCATCAGATAGTCTTTTTGCGTTCTTGCGTAGCTGTCGGTTTCGTCGGAACACGATGAAGTAGAACTTACGGCGGAGCAACGAGAACGAGAACCAAAACCGGTCTTCTCACATTTCTTCATCACGTTTAAAAAACACAGTAGCTAAGCAGGCTACATGTAACGAGCGCAATACCAGGAAAATTTATTGAATTTGCCACGAGAGGGTCCTATTATGAGACCATGAATGGTCGTGCATAAGGTATAAACTTTTATGTTCCAAAACAATTGTTTTTATGGTCTTTAAAATAATTAATGCAACCTTGACCTAGCCTGCTGCGATTTCAGCCTCCTCTCGTCGCTATCTGCCGAGCAGTTTTCAGGCTATGTTCGATCTTTGAGACTTTAGCGAGGTAAAATGTGAGTAATTACTTCTTTTTATTGAGAATTTTTTTTTCGCGGAAACATTCTACACGTTTTGACGTTTTTGAGGCAGGCTTAGATCTATAAGTTTAGATAACTATTAAGCTCAGCTTCATTTTTAAGAATAACGTGTAGAGTCCTACCGCGTCAAGCTAAGTTGGTATAGCGCCTGTTTGCAGAGGGGGATGTCGGAGGCTGGAACCCGGGGATCTCCTCACGTAAAAATGGTAGGAGACGTAAAAACAATGTCCCAACTGTCCTTTCATCTTTTGTGTTAACTACATTGACACTCTGATAAAGAAATGTATTTTCAATAGTACAGATATAGCATATGTACACTGTAAAAGTTTAGCAAATTATTAATGTCGCTTTTTGAAAAGTTTACTATTATTACGGCTGTAAAGTCACTTATTATAAGGTACAATAAACGGTTTCTGATTTATTATTACCATTGTTTTAATGCATTCTTTGCCTCTTGCTATGATTTCATCACCTGCTGCGAAATCGGTTTTGGCTCATAACATTTAGCATATTTTGAACAATTCCTTCATTTGAATAAGGGCCAGAATTGACCAATCAGCATGGGAGTTCAGGTAATTAAAGACATAAAGGCACTTTAACCAAAAGGTTCGAAATTGACCATATCTGCCAAAAAACTGGCTCCGGGTCATGTTAAAAAACGTATAGAATCATTATAAGTTGCCAAAATAACTTTTGATTAGAAGATATCAGGAGGTATTGGTTTCTGAGCTGTGGAATACACATGGTAAAAGGTAGCTTTTTTATTTGTTTTTGACAAATTTCTTACAATAATATTCAGGTACAACCCAGTCTGATTACCTCTTTCCTTATCCTGGCTTGGAATTCTTCAAAACAAATTAAACATACATCATACGACGTGCGAGTTAACTTTGTGTTGCCATAAAATGGATTTTATGTAGATTTCTTAGAATGATTCGGTTTCTATAGCTTTTCATGGACACACATCAGCGATTATATCAAAGACAACTTAAAAACAGAAATGGGTGTCGTTGGATAGGTTAATGAAAATCCTCAACCTGAGGAGTTGAAAACTTTCTATAAATATGCAGAAAATTTAAAGATTTGTAAACTCTTATGATAAATTCCTCTTGCAAGGGAAACAATGGTATAAATATTTAAATAGTTAATATGAAATGTGTCATCAAAATAGCTGCTTATTTTACGTGGGTCAGAATAAACATTATTTACAAAAGTTCGTTTCGCCTTTGTTCAGTTCCAATGGCTAGCCTTAACTTTTTTTGGTGTCAAGAGCCTTCAAATTCGGTTAGAGAAAGAATATAAAGGTAGAATGTTTATATCTAAAAATAGGATTCCACTTTACCTTTTTAGCCTTAAAGAATGGAGTCAAATACATCAGCCTATCCACCGACGACCTCAGCTTCGGACACATCAGCCAACAACGCTAACTCAAGTGTGCTGGCCGCCTGGAGTGTTGTATTCTCAGTGGAAGCGGGGCTCGTAATGGCTCTTAATCTATACACAAGTGCCTTTCTTGTGAGAGGAAATTTCGACCGAGTTCGATATTTTGCCTTGAGTTTCGCTTTTATTGATATCATGAGAGGTTTTGTGGCCATCGTAATAGTACTGGGTTTAATGAGGTCGCCCGGAATCGATTGTAAAATGGATTATCACGAATTGCACCTTGCTTTACAAACCTTTTGCGATGTGTTCTCCATGGGTTTTTTGGCGGCAATTTCTTTTGACATGTATTGCAGGATTTTTTGGCCCTTAAAACACATGTTCACTCGTGCAAGGTGGTATATATCGGCAAACTTTGTCATTTGGGTCATTTCGATGACTTCAACTATGTTGTTTGCCTTTGCTTTAGCTCGTTTCTATCAAGAGATTTTTGCCGATTTGGTGATATGGTTCATCGAGATTGCTAGTTTGACAGTCATTTGCACTTGCTACTTTCTTATTTTACAAAACTGCCGATCCAGTAATGAGTGGATCTTTGGGAAACGAAACTTTACTTTAGCTAAGGCGTTTATGTTCAGCACTATTATTTATCTTGTGGTATGGACGCCAATTGAAATTCTGGAAGGGATATCAAAGTTTCAAAAGTCTTTGTCTTTGGCATGCAATGGTCTACTTCTTATGAAATTTCTAAAGACTTTTTGTTCCCTTGTGAGCCCGGTGGTATATCTCAAGTATCTTTCTCCTTTCTGCAAATCATGTCGGTGCTCTACAATGCGACGAAGAAAACAATCAACTTATCTTGCAGACTCTTTACCATTGATAACCCTCAGATCCGCCTTATATTTCCAATTTGCTAATGAATTTCACATGGATGTAGAGCGCGTTGGATCTTAACTTAGGTATTCTTGTCACAAAAGTTTCTTCTTTGTGAGACATTACATTTCGTCTTGAGTTTATGAAATTGACTTTGTTATCAATTTCATTTCAAAATAGAATCTTATTGAATTACGAGTCCACCTTGACTAAACATACAAGAAGTAATTTTTGGCTCCGCTTCAGTTCCTTTTCCTGTTAACATTCCTTAGAGAGAATGTTTGCTGTGGCTCGTACGTTTCGTTTTCGAGCTACACCGACTAGAAGCCGCATTAAAAGCATTGGTGCATTTTTGCTTATTTTTGCTCACAAATGGTACTTTCCGCGCAACTGATGACACCTTTTTAATTTGCTATTTTCTTAAGCACTAAGTCTTCTTGTCACTAGTGTGCTCTTTAAAGAAACCGCAAAACAAACTGAACAAAAATTAGTAATTATAATAATAGTTCTATTGGTGCTGAAGATGATTATGATATGATGATGATGATGATGATGATGATGATGATGATGATGATAATCCTTATAATAATAATGAACTTATTTGACGCTGAGACAAAATGAAACACCCAGGGTGATCACCTAGAATAGCTTTCCGAGCTTTCTTGTATTAACGTCCTATTTTTAGGCTTAATAGGCCAGTTTTATATTATCAAAATTCATACTTGGCTCAGAGGCCGAGGGGAATAGGACAGAAGAAATCGCATTAAGATTCAGGGATGAATAATTCAACTTTTTTTTGTTTTATTTCCCTCAAATTCGGAGTCAAGCATGAATTTTGATAATTAGAAACTGCTGGCCTATTTGAAACTATCCCTATGCTAAAAATCATTGCCATGAGGAGGTTTACAGTCATATTTTATTTAAGTGAAACACACAATGAGGTGTAGAATTAATTTTACAAAACATCTACTTATACAATTGACCGTAATGAAAATGTGAAAGTATAAATACGCCACCAAAGTTTGAATGAAGTACTGGTGAATATGTTGGATTTCTTAAGAACTATAAATTAAATACAATGAAAGAACAATATACATAGCAATATGCTCCTTCAACAAATTTCACTTGCACTAAGAACAAAAAGAAAAGAAAAAGAAAAAGTAATTTTATCCCAAGTAAACATTAGGTACTTCTCAGTCAATAGCACAGTGCGCAATAGAAACAGTTTTTCATCTCCGAACTGATTGATATGAAAACGCAAAAGATTTCTAAAAACGCAATAAAATAAAACTAATTGAATCGATGAAGACGTCACACTCAATCCTGCATCGTTGCTGTGAAGCTAAGCTGTCGTGATTGGAAACCGATTTGGGTATATGAGAGAGGTGCATTGTACGGCATGATTTTTATTTCGTATTTTTATTTCGTATATTTGAATGAACAGAATGTGTAAGGAAAGGTCATTAGGTGCATTATGGGCAAGTGCCTTCACAGTCGAAACGCTGGCCATTATCATTGCAAACGTGTTCTCAATAACTATATTCTGGAAGAGGAGAATCCAACTAAGACTATTGTTGAATCTGTCAGTGGCTGATTTAATGTTTGGAGTCGCCAATTTATTTGAGCTTGTGGTCATGAAAATGAGGAAGCCACTTTTTTTAACGGGCACCTCTTTGTGGGAGGAACATGTGACATTTGAAGACATTTTTGGGTCGGCGTCTATATTCTTTCTTGTTCTGGTTTCATTAGAGAGACTGTTCGCTATGGCTTGGCCGTTCCGTCTCCGTACTGTATCGACAAGAAGTTATTTTAAAGTCATCGGGGCTTGTTGGCTCTTTGCAGGGCTAGTAGCTCTCCTCGAACAAATGGTAGTCTTTAAACTCATATCTCATCTGTCATATGTTTGGCTTGTTTCAGTAAGCTGTTTCGTTTGTCTCACGTTGATTACTTGCTCATATTCTCTAATTTGGGTACTTAACAAAAAGGAAGATCCAAGATTACCAGCAAACTGTCGTAAACACAACAAGGAACTTGCCAAGACATTGTTCCTTGTAACACTGCTATCTCTAATGGCTTCGCTACCTTTCATAATCATAAATTTTGGGCGTTTCATCGTTGAAGAAAACGGTGGTGACATGCTCACATTCCTATGTCACCCCTCCAAGTTCCTTTTATTAGCAAATTCATTGATTAATCCTATAATTTATTCTTTTAGAATGCCTGAGTTTAGAAGAGCTATAAATGGAACAATTTGTCTGGGTGAAAGATCAAGGTTTCGGATTTTAAAAGAATCCGCAACGAACAGCATCGTGCTGATCAGTGTTCGCAGTGTCAGTATTTAAACAGCTTGATGATTTTCATCTACAATGGTTGTGTCCTGCTTCCTTCGAAAAATAATTATTTTAAAATTCGATCAATGTGCGGCAAAATATTAGAGACCTTTAGAAGAGGATGGCTACGAGGACAAATTTTGTTAGTGCTAGGTAGTGCGGGCGCGTGAACCGGTGCCATTTTGGCGGGAAAAAGTGATAGTAGTCGGCTAGTCGCCATTCTACTACGAGTTTTAGCGAGATTGTACGGTAGTGACGGAAACCGTAAACCGTAAAGAAGTCTATACCTCTGCCCACAGTTGAATAAAAACTAAGGTGTCAATTAGTTGGATGTCTCAAAAAATAACGAAGAAGCCTTGACGTGCAGAGGTGGAATAATACATAACCACGTGTTCCTTCAAATGCCTTTTCATTTCCACCGAGATTAATATCTCATTTCCTTTCCGTTGAAACCTCTTAAGCAAACATAGGGAATCTTGAAACTTTATGTCTCCTCGATTAGTTTCAGCACTTGTGTTAAACTAGAAGTTTACCCCTCTAATAAACAAAATGTGTAAGGGAACTTCAGGTTTACATTCCTATTTAGGCAATGAGCTCGTGTGTTAATTAATGAAAATATGGAAGCTAAGGTTTTTGAAATAAACAAAATGCGATGGAGGGCATGACCAAAAATCAACAGCTTTTATATTTACATTGGGTTCTAGTATTCACCCCCTTTATTCCACTTGCCGAAGCCCTGCAATGGCAAACATAGGTCTTAAAACAATAGTACAAAGCGCAATAGGTAAGCAGGTCTCGATCCAGGATTGATTAACACCCAAAAGGAACACAAATAATTATTATCATGATAATCATGCAGTTTATGAAGAATCTCACCCAAGCTCCCTGTGACGCTGTAAATCCCAGAAAAGCAAAGGCTAGAAAAATTAAAACAACACCAATGTACTGTGATGTATGTCCTTTATTAAAGGCACACGGCAAAAATTTCATCACGCTCATTTTTTGGTTAACCTCGTACAGCTGTAGCACATGAAGAACGTTAAGCCTTAAGTTGCTTAACTTTTGATCAGATCATCAGAACTCGTATTAAAAAAAACGACAAAAAAAAAAAAGAAAAAACAAAGCAAAACAAAGAACAAAAAAATAGAAGAAAGCAAACAAAAAGAAAACAAAGAAGGACAATTTTATTGAGGGACTCGACTTTCGTTGTAGGTCGAGATAAGAAGAGGAACTTAGAAGACTGAAATTCTATTACCACTGTATAGAGATGTCAGCAGTTTTGCCACTCGGTGATTTACTTCTTATCTTCTAGCCTTTCCAGGCGTTCAGACAGTAAAGCGCGGGCGAAAATTGACGAAAAAAAAAAAAAAAAGAAAACATAAAGCAAGCGAGTGATGACTAGAGAGTTCTCCCAGTCTCCCCTCGTTTTTTTTCCCCTCGTTTTGCCCGCGAACGACTTCACTCGTTCCCCACCAGCTGAATGCCGTGCTTTACTATCTCAACGTCTGGAACAGGCTCCTCTTTACCTTCAGTTATACGAATGTAACCAAATTAATGATACAACTGTAGTTAAGTTTAATATCGGCATCCATCCTAGCTGCCCTGTAATAGCTTACTACATAAAATGATAAAGATTGATTTCTCAACCTGCCTTTTTTGCCCTCCTAAACTCCAGACTATTTGACAATTATTCATAGACTGCGCACAAGCAAACCCCTGGCTCTAGAGAGAATTTCAAGAACGGTACTGCAAGCTCAGTAGCGAAAATCGAACTAACAAATTTAGAAATTTTGTGCAGGTTTCTCGTTTACTCCTCGCGACATTTTTTAGCCCATAATCATGTTATTACTATTATTATTATTATTATTATTATTATAGAAAGGAGGCCAACTTTCGTGAATTTCCCCTTGATCAGGTTTCGATAAAATTTTGATGTTAGAGCAATACACCGCTGTTAAATCTGGTGAGCAAGGCACATATGCACAGAAATTTAATGCAAAATGTGTAGAAGTTAAATTGCAATTTTAGTGTAGACATAGCATTTTACATCATAATGAGTAAGTTTTAAGACTTGCAAGGTTTTCAGTGTTCTCGGAGCTCGTATATAAATTTCTATGCGCACGTTTTGGAACGTTGATTTCTATAGTCTGGTAGGTTAAGTGTGTACAAGATATTTATTAAGTGCCAGCAATGTTAAATAATTTCATCATGTTAACGTTGCTTAAGTGTTGTATTTATCATATTGTCTGTATTTTCTGTTTTTAATTCTGTTTTCGTTTTAGTTAGGTACAAGGCCACGCAAGCATTACGCAGCCTGAGCCTTAATTTCGCGGCCCCTTTATCCCCTTTACGTCACTGCGGTTAGTGTGAGGTCAGTCCACGTCTGATTCCGAATTTTCTGCATTTCGTTCAACATAACATGACTTTTTGAAATACAGTCGGCTCCCGATAACTCGAACCTTAACCTGTGAACTGGCCTTCGAGCGGGGAACGGGGGAGAGGATAAAGCGAAAAGGCCTGTAGACGAACATTTGGGACCGCCATTCCACGGCACCCGCTGTGCATCAGATTCTGATGCAAGCTCCTATTGGCGAGAACACTGACCGTTGAAAGGGCTGATTGACATCGGCTTTTCGGTCGCACGTAGCATGCGATTTGATCACAAAGTGGCAATAGCAAAACAGTCCAAAGAATGTAAAGCTTATTCAAAAGGTATTACCCAGGGAGGAACTACTGCTCCAGTCAAAAGACTCTCACTATCTTCACAACAACACTATAAGCTGGAGCTTACCGAGTCTCCATAGTTGATGTAGTTTAAGCTGCACTTCAACCTTATAATTTTGGATCTGTAAATCATTGTCCGTGATAATTGTTAATCATTCTGCAAAGAAAACTAACGAGCTGGGCCTGTGTGATAAAACAATGCAGAAAAACATTACATTCACGGACTAAAGAAAATCACTTAGTTCTCTTCAGATCCAGAGGGCACTTTGGAGAAAAGTAAGACCGCAATAAAAAGCTTTATGCTTCAAAAGAGGTCAAAGAAAATGCTCTTACATCAGAGGGCAAATCCTGCCGACCAGAAACAAAAAGCACATTAACACCGTATGTGCCATGACATGGCCTCTCAGCGTGAAACAGGCGGCTAAAATCACATTGCTCAGTAGAAATGTAGAACCTTCCATAGCATAATCTACTCAGCAGAAGGAAACATTTATGGGAACAAGCAGCATTTTGGCATGAGGTAAAAGTCGTGCAGGCCTACCGCCCCCTTTTATTGCTATAAATTCCCGAAGGTGTAATTCTTGCCGGCGATCAAAGCGCTGCTGATCTCTTTGTACTCGTCTTCCGAGCTTCACGTTCTGGAGAAGTCATGATAGTATCTGTACCTTTCGCATTCCAAGTTCGCTCATTTGTAGGGGCTTGTTAAATTAGAAACTTAACTGCCAAGACGAACGGCCTGTCGCGCACAAGTAAAGCAGCTTAAGTCGGAAAAGCTTTCTTCTTGCTCAAGGGGAAATTTTAAGGATTCAAATGTTTGCGCCAGTACAACGCTGTCTTCTTGAAACGCCAAAGACCGGCACCGTATTAATTCTCTTACCGGAGATCAACGACTTTTTGCAAAATCGACAGTAAGGCTCGCGCTCCATTTCAAGCTATTTCACTTTGTTTTCAGATTGAGGAAAACACCGCTCATTTCCTGTTAATTTTCCCAGGAGTTACTCACGCCCGAAATAGATTGACAGATAGCGATCTTAGAGACAGATGATCGGCAGGATAATTACAACAGGGCGGAATAGCCGCCTCAAATGTTTGTCTACAGGCTCTCTCCACCCCTTCCCTTCCCTTTCCTCGCTATTTTTCCCCAAACAGAGAGCCTGTTCACGGGCTACTCGAACCTTCAAGGGAAATCGAAAAAAGGTCGAGTTATAGGAAGCTCGAAGAAAATAGCTGGGAGTAAGGAAAAAAAACAGTTTTTACTGCACAAGGAACATTAAGTGAAAATTGAAAGATACTGATTATAAATCAGAACGTAACGTAACAAAATATTGCCTAAATAGAGCATGCGTTTTACTGTTATGAAAAGTAAAGCAGTTTCACGTTAGATTTGTGACAAACAACATCAGCCTCCACCAGTAAACTATATGCACACAACACTTCAATGAGAAATTCAAAATTCAATGTTTCGGAAGCCAGTGCACAGTTTTTTCCTGAATTTTTAAGGGCTCAAAACATGGTTCGAGTTATCGAGGGTAAAATTATATAGAAATGACCTGAGGGGAAACAATTATGTATTACTTTGAGTTAGCGGGAGATTCAAGTTATTGGGTGTTCGAGTTACCGAGGGTAAAATTACAGTAAATGTATGACGGAAATCCAGGAGAAATCGATTTTGGTTCGAGTTAGCGCGAGGTTCAAGTAAGTGAGGGTTCAAGTTATCGGGGGCCAACTGTATCTTCTACTACGCAATTCCATATTGTCTTCACCGGGGAGTAAGAATTCCTTCGTCCTCGATGGCAGAAACTTCTTTAGTTTGCTGAAAGCTTTCGGGCGTATTTGCATTAAAATCAGCAAATGTCGTCAACGTGACGACCGTGGGTACTTCACGATAACTTTGGCGAGGGCAGTTCAAGGAAGAAATCATCGCACCAAAAGTTCTTCTGTAATCTTTGTCTCTCACAGCATACATAACGACATTGACTGCTGAGTTTCCATACTGGAGTAGTTTCATGAAATGCCTCACCACGGTTGATGGTTGCCGACATGAAATGCAGAAATTGATAGCCACAAGTAAAATTTGAAGAGGAAGCCATGTCAAAAGGAAAGCACCTGTTATTAACGCCACAGTCTTGGCTAACTTTCGGTCTTGCAGCTGATGATTTTGTTGGGAGACACTTGCGCGTGATTTGTCTTTCTTCCACAGAAAAAAGTAAGCCGTGCAAGTGATTATGATTGGTGTAAACATGCTAACAATGAGAATGAAGGTAAAAGTTAGTGATCTCACCAGCACGTACTGCAAAACAATCTCTGTTGATGCAGCAACCAACGATAAGATCCATGGAACTGATATGACGAAGATATAGAATCGCGAACCCTGAATTCGGTGACGAAAAGGCCAACCAACAGCATACATTCGCTCCAATGATATTGTGGCAAGAGTAAAGATGGACGTAAAGCCAGTGAACATGTCCATGAAATCAGTGACAGCAACAATGATTAGGTCGTCTTCAAAGTTGTCATATACGTACTGGAGTGAAATGTAAAGGGGAATTGTCAGCAATCCTACCAAGAGATCTGCCACCGCCAAACTAATGAGAAGGAAATGAGCACGTTTACGATGTCGCCTTTTAAGGAATATTGTGATCGTTACTATGTTCCCAGAAATAACTGCAGCTGCCAATAAGCCAAAGCAAAGACTCCAGATGATATTCCATTCCATTGAACCCATTGTAAATGATCCTCTGGCCTGTAATGAAATTCAACGTCATTGGCAGGTCATATTTTAAATTTTTTTGGGGGGCAGAATCCAAATTCCCCGCAAGGTATAGCCATAAAGCGAAAATATACTTAAGTAAGGTGTGTAATAAAATCAAGAAGTTGACTAACCATTAGTAACCTTAAACCTTACCAGTGATGTCATTATGACGTTCTTTTTGTTACAAACACTGGAACCATGCGTCATCTTTGATCCGCCATTTTAAACCAATTTAATATGTTATATTTCACTTTAAACCCGTATAAATGGAGGTAATCGTAACAACAAATTCGATCTGCACATAAAAGAATACTGAGAAAACAAAAACTATGCGAGTTTTGGAATTCCCAGAGAAATGAATATTGAATTGCCGGAATTTATGTTTTTCGTCAAATTAGTTACCAAAAATCTCGGATTACATTTAACAGTTGTAAAAATTTTGATTAAATAATGCTAAAATAATAAGTGTAATATAACAATTCAATAAGTGAAAGTACAAATGAAACTTTTTTCCTTTTTCAAATTTGGAAAAACATGTCTGTAAAACTCAATTGCCATGGTAACGTCAATGTTCGCATAAACGTCACGAAGGCTTTAAAATGTTTGCAGATAAATCTAAGTTTGGTGGTCATAGCTTGAACGGGTTTGAAGTGTATTTAACCTTTTTTTTAACAAGAGGGGTGGGATCAAAAGCTCACGTCTTAAGAGGGTGTCCGTGTAGAGGCAAATGTTCGTTTTTTCATATAATGAATGATAACCATTCTATCCGTCAGAAAATAATCACATATACTCGGACCTAGACGATTTTCTTCCCCTTTTAAGAGACGGTTTTCCGGGCCACCTTAAAATACCGCTGTCAGAAGTGACAAGTGTGCCGTCGGAAACGATAAATTCAGGCGCAAACATTAAACATGATCAACTTCTTTCTTACTTCATTGCGTTAAGGGCTTATCACTTGTATTGTATGGATTACTGACTAATAAATCAATTCCATAAAAGAGTGAGAATGATTACATGGAGCTGAAAGATTATTTTGCAAAAGTAGTGCCTGATCCAGGATCAATGCTATCATAAAGTAAAGGTACTGACCAATTTACTTGTTAAAAGAATAAAATTTGTAGCAAAACTTCTTTGTTTGCCACCGTATGAAAAAACGTAAAAAAGAAAAGAAAATGGATGTCATTTGGCTATTAGAAGTATTTCTGACAGAAAATAGTTCAACTTTAATACAGTTTCAACTTTAACAATGACATCAAGGCTGTACTGAAAGTTTATGAAAATTAGCTACATTTATGTTATAGCAATTTACAAAAAGTGTCTGGCCCATACTCCAAAGTATTTTCTCTACCTGAGAATGATATCCATCGCAGGGAAAAAAGTTTCCTCCCTGCGGCGACGTGAAAAATCCTTCCACGCGTAATTGTTTCTACCTTACTTTTTATCGCTTTTAGCCATTATATTCAGTCACACTGAGTGCTGGCCAAGCTGTATCAGTTGGTCATTTCATACATTCTAATTCAGTTAAAATGCGGTTACACACAGCACGGTAAACGGCATTTCCCGTGGTAAATTTTCCCACGGTACATCACACTTGGGTTTTAGTATACCGTGACACGCGTGGGGTAATTTTCACGCGCGCTCGCGTTTCGCTCTCTCTACTATCCCTGAGGGCCTCCCTGAGGACAAATGACTACTCCAGCCTCCTCCTCAGGCGCTTCGTTTTTCGCATGGCAGAGGCGAGCGCGAAACGCGAGTGACTGGTGATGAACCGCAAGGGACCATGGGAAGGGTACAGACAGCAGGCGAACGCCTGCCAGATCTTGTGTCGTTTTCTTGGCAAAAAAGTCGTTTTCTTGGCACAGCACAATTTCTTCGGTTAAAATGTCCTCTGACGACTCTACAACTCTAGAAGACCTTGAAGAGTCTTTTGATGACCTGACGGTATCGGGTAAGTCTTATTTTAGCATTGCATTTGTTGTATATTATAGAATCTGGATTACCAATTACAGCGCTGACAGTCAAAGTTTGAAGATTATGTTTTTTCCCTTTTTGTCAAGGCCAATCCAACGAACAACTCACAAGTACTCCCGAGAAAGATAGGAGTTTATCAGCAAGACATGTAAAACATGACCTTACGCCAAAATCCAAATGTGCAAGCTTACCAGCTTCGAAAAGAAGGCAGATAGGTGTGAATTTTGTTATTCAATTTTTCGGAAAAAATAATTGAAATAAGCGTAAATAAAAATACATAACTTATTGAAGCTTGCATATTAACTCAAGTACTATCGTTTCAGGAAGATCTCTTAATTCTCGAGAGATCCGTTCTAGACAGGATGAACTTTATTCTCGCTTAAAGGAAGGTTTTGAAGAGAGGGAAGGCGCCAGTACAGACCAATCGGTCATGTTGGAGTACCTTAATCTTGGAGAGGCAGACAAGAGTTTCTTGACCAGAGGTGTTAAAGAAGTGTTTCCAAGCTCAGAGTTAAGAAGAACAAGAAGAAAAGGTGGTCAATTGTATCCTTTTTAACACTTGTTGTTGTTGTTGTCATTTTAAATTCTCTTTTTATAATGCCTTTTTTGAAAATAAGCAATTTGTTACAAACAGTGCATACTGGGATTGATCTTTGGAAAAGTCTTGAGTCCCTGAGCTAACCAATGGGTCCCAGTTGAAAAAAAACAAGGATTCTCAACTTGAAAATGCTTTTATGTAACCAGACAGTTAATCTGAAGACAGATGCCAAAACTCTTTATTACGGTCTACTGAAATTAAACTATAGTCGTTCTATATATTTAAAGCACAAACATACTGAAATAAATATGCATCTTTAAAATCAATCCATCATTTTTTGCCTCCTACGGGACACATGTCAAGAACTATTTTAGGGATGCAGGATGTGGAGGTGATTAAATCACTGCAAAAAACGTCTCAAACTGATATTCTGCCAAAAAAATTCTTAACTGCTATTTTCAACAGTTACCTGACTTTTATATCTTTCAAATTTCATCTTATTCACTTGCATTTACTTTGTATTCATAATTTGTGAAAAGACAGAGGGGCTAATTGCCGGCCCTTAACTGGAAAACAAAACATACTATCTAAAGAAGTCAATATTAAAAGTTACATATTTACGCTCTACTGATAAGGTAATGTTGAACACAGTTTCCTAGCCATGTATGAGTGATGCTACAAAGTATTTTGTTTTTTTTTTCTTAACTTGAAAAAAGATCTTTCTATAAGTATGTCAATATTGCTGTGAGAGCAAAGTTTGGATCTTTGGGACTCACCTCAACCTTTGAGGATGATTCAGGTAAATACGGTAAATGTCATAACAGAAGCTTTTTTTCTGAAATAGAAATATTAAATGGGAATTTCATTGCTGAAAATACATGTACATCTTTTATCTTTAATTACATTCAATGACAATCTGTGATCAATTTATGAAGCTGACATTGTCAAAACTAGTAGACGAGTTTTTAATTATTTCTTTATATTCATCAGGGACTCCGAACTTTCATTTTCAGGCATTGAATTTCGCCATCAACTGGGTACATTTACTTTGATTGTAATTAGATCACCTCACTAATGCGTTCTCTTACTTTTCCAGATGAGATAATATCAATAAAGAGGCAAATCTTGGCAAGTGAAGAGACCATGAAGCAAATATGGATACATCTTATGGAAGGTCTTGAGGAAAATGATTTGCTGACATTAGCTGGTTAGTATGCTCAAGAAGCTCGAGAAAGGGATCGATATGTATCTGGCTTGATAAACTTGTATGAGAAAGAGATCAAAAAGCTCAACGACAGAACAGCTGACATTTTAGACAACCAACAAAAGAAGGTGTTACAAGAAGAGCTCCTCTATCTAACCTCTCAAGGAGAAGAAAATGTTAGAAATGGTGACATTGTATCACGTCATGACCTTATAACAGGCGACCTGATAAATGGTTTTGTGGCAAAAATTCAAGATCACTGTCCATTAATAAACAGCATTTTGGAGAATTTGGTTGGAGGTTCAAAAGCTGATAGAAATCTTCTCAAGACCAATAAATACAAGTTTAAATGTGCCTCACATGCCCTAGGTGCTCTGTTGAATATAAGATCCGCCAAAACGTCATCTGATTTTCCACTCCTTTTTGGATTGTTGTGTATTAGCTATGGAGGAGGCAAACAATTTATTAATATGCTGAATGCAGTTGGTCTTTCTCTGCACTGGGATACGATGTAAGTTTATAAACAATTTTTAACTACATTTATGTGTAAACAGTGGAATTAAGTAGAAGCTGGTGATAGGAAACAAAAATATATAAACAAAGGTATTTGCTGCCAATGAGATCATTGAATCTAACTGATACATCATACCTTTCAACAACACTTGAACAAATACAGGTTTGTTTTCTTGTTCTATGATTGTCAATCTTAACTCATCTCTCACTGGGGAAAGAGATGTTGAATTTTACATGTTTAAATGGTAATATCTGTAGATTTTTAGACCTTTTTAATATCATTTTTTGTCTTCTTACACACATTACATAAATATTTTTTTTGATAAATATATTCTACAATAGAAGGGTTTGAGAGCTTGTAATTGCAATAAAAGATATAGAAACTAGCTAAGACTAGACAATGACTAAGTAAAATATATCCTTCTTTCCCTGTAATACCTAAACATTTAATTTTTTCTAAAACGACGCAGGCTTCCTTTAAATGTTCAAAGTCATCAAAATGAAACATTCTGGTGACGGAAATTAACCGGCAGCTTGCTCTTAGCGACATTCCTGGGTAGTAAAATCTGTGACTATAAATAATGTAAAAATTTCTTTTTCTTTATCACTAGCATGAAATTTCTTGATGAAAGGTTGAACAACTTCTCAAAGGTCATCAGTAGGGAGTTTCCTGTAGGACAACCAGTCATCCTGTTAATGGACAACATTAACATGTACAGAGGGAAGCACAGGCATGACCGACTTTACAAATCTATTGGACCGAAAATGTGGAACTTTACTGGGAGAGGAGCTCTTCTTCCCAATCTGGTAGGAATAGAAGATTTGTTCAATAATGAAGACACTTGCACCAGGCCGCAACGTCCAGTTGAGGAATTGGTGGCTAAAGATGTGTTATTAGGTAAGATATGTGACAATTTGTGCCTACAGACTAATGACCAATATATCTGACTTTTTGTAATGGTAACAGGACTGAGTGGAGTCCAATTCAGTCTGTAATCATACGAGTGATTAACAAAATCGTTGGAGTCCGATTTGTTAAATCACGAGTATGATTACAGGACCGAATTGGACAACATGAAGTTCTGTTACCAGTGAATCATAACTTTAGGCTAAAAGGCTCTTTTTAAAATCAAAACACAAGAAATTCCGAGATTTTTTTTTGCTACAGTGTAAAAAAAACCATTTAGGCATGCACCTGATGGTACGTACTGTCCAAGTACTTAGGCATGACACGTTACCAATCAGATTTGAGAATTTTGTTATGGTTATGATTACCCAATTTATGTTACTGTCAGTTAACCATTAACACCTGAAATGTTTCAGGAATGGTGATTGTGTAGTGACTCGGGTGTGGAAGCGGAATCATTTTAATCATTTGAATTTGAATTTCATTTTTGCCTCAATAGTTTACTATTCCTAAAACAATTTTGTTGCAGATTCATGATTCTCAAAGACATTTGATCACTTACTGACTAAATGATTTTGTTAGTGGCAATTTAGTCCCATTTTGTATGTATAGTTTCTTTAGTGTTCAAACTTCTTCTTCATCCAGACTCAGAATTATCATTCGTTTTGTCTAAGTATGGATTTTTTTGGTAACTGAACATTAACCAGGTTTCGGCAGAAATAAGCGGACTGTCAGCCCCAAATGCACAAATATTTTTTTATGGGGGTGCATGGGGGCATGTTCCCCCGGAAATTTTTTTAGGAAACACCATATCCTGATTTCCTGGATTGAACACAATTAATTGGTGTATTTTGTTGAGCTTCGCTCAGAGTCTCATTATCCATGATTCCCAAGCCAAAGTACAGAGATTCATGATTCCAAGGATCTAAAAACAGATCTATGATTCTTACATGTTTTGTGACCGATAGTGACCACAGTTATTGTAAGTCCAGGACAAGTGGGCAAAGTTCAGAACCACAAACTTGACTGCCATTGGTGCAATGTTGGAAAGTTGTTGGTGACTGTTGACATTCAACTTAAACCATGCATTTAATAGCTGTTATGTCATTTTTCATCAGAAAGCCACCCAAACCATGTGAGAATCTGGAATGAAGCACAAAACAGTTACTATCTGCAACTCCTCGCGACTGGATTGAATGTCATACCAAACTCTGACAAGGATTTTAAGGATTTGACTGAGGAAGAATTTATGGAATGGCTAAGTAAACCAGACCTTTCTGACCCAAAAAGGAAAGGAAAATATGTAATTAAAGTCCCAGATATGGTGAAACCAGAAGGCAGCAATGAAAAGTCAAATGTTGTCATACTACCATTGTCCCTGGAAGATAATTCAACAATTACCGGGACTGCATCCATTCTTGAAGAATTTGGGAGTGAATTTGGTATCAGTTGCAATCATGACATATGCTTCCTGCCATTTAATGACAACACAAAGACTTATCACTTGAAAGAAGCTCGCAGCAGGTTTGAATTCTTAACACTTTTAGAGAAACACAAGTCAGAGATGATTGATCTAAAATTACATCTTGAAAGGAGAGAAAAGGGTATTGAGGGTGCTGCTTCAACGCAGGCCGATGAGGACGAAGGCACGTGCTTTCTTGCTGCTGACATTGATGGAGATGAAGAATGTGATGACAATACTGGAGATGATTGTGAAATTGAAAATATAGAAACAAGTGAACCTCCTACTAAATCCAAGAAAAATATGTTTCAGAAAATTGATGGCAAATTCACCAAAATGTATGACAGTGTGGTAAAGAAAATGTGGAAGGCTGTCCATAACCAAGACTCCACTGCATTTGAAAAATTTCTCAGTGAGATGGAAGAAAAACGTTGTGAATGGGACACTTCCAATGTGGACCACTTTGGAAGAACAATTATACATGCTGCTGTGGAGGAAAACAATGAGACATTAATTCGGACATTATTACATGTAGGAATTGATGTAAACTGTCTCGAAGGATGTGGAGCTTCACCACTCACATTGGCAGTGCTAAACAAAAATCAAAAGCTAGTGAAACTCCTTCATGAACATTTCGCTTTGAGCTCTGGTCCACTTTTCATTATGATGCCAAGTCCACTAGACATTGCGAAGGCAATGGGCTTGGAGGACATTGTCAACATGTTTGAAAATGAGCCTGAGGATGAGGAAGATAGATTATTGCATCTCAAGTTTGAAAGAGGTTGTGCAAGTGACAACTTAAATATAGTGTCTGAAGAGGTAAACAAGGAAGAGGTTGAGAATGATGCTTTTGCCTTTGATCGGTCAAAATGCAAAACATGTCCAACAATTATTGTTGGTGACAATGGAACAAATAAAGTGTGCAGGGGTGTCAGGAATCGTTCAACATCAGCATATGGTTGGTGTTCTGAATTTCCAGGTGACATGCACACCAAGGGATATTTGTGTGAAGCTTGCTTCAAAGTAATGGGTAAAGGAGGCTTTCACTACCTCACCCACACAGTCATGAAACGGCCAAAGCTAACTCAGGAGGCGTTTGGGAAGAAGAAATTCCAAGAACAGAATTTGAACAGAATTAAGGAAGCAGTACGTGATGGGGGGGGTAGCTTATGGTCTTGCAGCTATTCATGAATTTAAAAAGTCAAACTTTTTCCCTTCAGAGACTGTTCTGAAGGCATCCTTGTGTCGCAGCGGGTCACACAATGAAGTACTTCTGGATGCTTTTAAGAAGTGGCTGCAGCATGGAACAGCGGAGGATGAAGCATTCAAATACCATGCTGAACTTATTACGTTATATGCACCGCTGCTTCAGCTCTATTGCTGCGCCACCAAGCATGGAGATGGTTTATGTAGAGAGACGGTGTGGCTTATGCTTTTACCAGTATTTTGCCAACTAGGGATGAAGAATTACTGGACAGAATCTCTTGTTCATATCGTTAATTTTATGGCAAAGTGGCCACTAGCTGTGAGGAAGATGATGCAACAGAACTGTAGCATAAGTGTTAAAGGAAACAAGGGTGCTAACATTGATCTTGACGAGTATGTGGAAACTTACATTGTACAGCCCCTCAAGAATTACGTGTCAGGTGAATCTTAGAATTGCATGCATCACTATATAACCACGTCTCTAGCGGCCATAATTATTTATTACATTGAGTCCTCTAAAACCCCATTGGTTTGATTTTTTCATCAATATTGGGATGTTGTGATTTAAATTTACTTTCTCTTTTCATGTTATTTTTTCCGGAATTTATCAATCAATTTGCTATTTTCCTTTGTTTCTGTCCATGAAAGTGAGTAGGAAATATTATAAGAAAAAACAACCAAACTGGTTTTAAAGATCTCAATACCAAAGTACTTCCAATCACCACATGTATTAGCCCCTATAGAAAATACACTGCACTCATTGGTTTATTAGGGAGGTGGGTACTCGGGTATAGCTATCACACTCACCAAGAAATCCAATGTCCCTGAATGTTGCTTCAAAAAGTGAAAAAAACTGTTCATAGTCCATTCGAGATTGACATTTGCTTTGGTAACTCATTTTTTAAAGAATATGGTTGCTGTCAGTCTGTGGGTCGTGTTGTTACATTATTGAACTTGCGCAACAAGACTGGAAAGGAAAGAAGTCGGCAGACCTTGTGTGACAAACGTGACAATAATTTTGTTTGAAAAAACTTTCCGCCAAACGTTGCTTTTTGTCAAACAGATCTTTTTGTAAAAGACCTGAAAAAATTACCGTTAAGCCCTGCCACGTTTGTCACAAACACGCGTTTTGCCGTGTTGCGTAAACTCACTATTATCACCGTGACGATTGTGTCTATTTTTTTACCACGCGACAGGACATACTAGTGTACGGATGTGCAAGCGCCTTATGGCAAATATCCAATTATTTGGCCAGGTAAGGAGGGCATATGCAGACAAGGAAGCTTTTGATGTGCATACTACCAGCAAACACAAGGAGCAAGACCCTATAGCGGATCAGTTGAAGGGCATGTGGTTCTGTATCAAGGAAGGATTTTTCCAGCCACAGGAAGACCACACATCAGTCCACAAGTACAATTTACAAGGGAAACGTGAAGGCAGCGTTGCAAAAAGTCTCAGGGATGTTTTTGACAAGGGCATTGAGAAGATTAAGCAGAAATTTGACCAAAAAATGTATGAATGTTTTGTTGAAAGGAGGTTGCTGCCACAAGATTAAAAGTCAGTTCAATGAATGTTTTGAAAGCTTCCTATTTTGTGGGGACTTAAAGAAATTTAAGGTATACCTTGTCAATCGTTTTCTTGTGTTCTGTCATTTTCGTATTTAGAAACACCATTATTAAAGAAACATTGTCGTTATTTGTACAGCAGAGAGGATAATAACTCTAATCCTGGTCGAGTGGAAAAATTCTTGAACTTTGAAGAACAATTGAAATCACAGAAGTTGGGCAATACATGTACATGTATTGCTGTCTTCATTTAAGAAACAGTATTGTTATCAAAAGAAAAAGTGCTGGGACAGATGTTTTCATTTCAACATGGTTATCGGGTAACTAAAAAGTGTATAGTGGTGTGCAAGCCTGATATGTTATGAGATAGCGAAATTGTTCCATAATACTCAGGCTGTTCATTAATAAAGACAAGTCTTTTTCTTACATACATATCATCGACTATCCGAAAAAAATGTTCGCCGCAAAAGAACCATTTGGCGATAGCGTTATCAAAATCCGGCTAGACATATATAGATATTTATATATTTACATATCACAAGAGAGGAAAATAGTTTACAAATGGTTATACTGAACCATGGAAACACTTAGAACTTCACTCTAGTCTCTTTACAATGATTTCATCATTTAAAAGTGCTCTTGCTTCCGAACCAATCGAAATTGTTGCAGCACTGGTTGAATCAGTAGAGCTGGGAATGTTTTCCTTTAAAATGTTTCTAACAATAAGCAGCTGAATAAACTTAGAGGCAGACTGCATTGAAAATTTGCCTTTGCCTGCGCCAAATTTCTGCACCTCATTGAATTTCTTGGCAGCCACTTCTTTTCGCTTAGATCCAATGAAAGTGAAGACAACTGCTTTAAAAGTCACTTTAGGGTGAAGCTGAAGCATACCCTCCACACACTGAACAACATTCTTTCCATCTTCTGAGGCATTGCTGCTTGCTGGGTGATCTGTTTTGTGACAAGCGTCGCAACTGTTACAGTCACCTACTACTTCACCAAAGTATTGGAGCAACTGTTTGGTTCGACAGCCATTACTAATGCAGTACATAGACATTGCATTGAGACTTTCATGTGCCAACATTTTATGCTCATTTTCAGCTAGAGACGATATCATACGCAGTTGTTTGTTCCTGTCCTCGAATTTGAAGAAAATGATACACTTAGCCTGAGCACCATCCCGTCCAGCCCTGCCAGCTTCTTGATAATACTCAACAGGAGATTTTGGAATTGTCTGGTGAATTACAAAACGGACATTACTCTTATCAATTCCCATTCCAAAGGCGGATGTAGCACACATAACAAGTGCTCGTCCCTCTAGCCAAGCAGAACTTGTTTCCTTTTTCTCAAAGGGATCAAGAGCACCATGAAAATATGTTGCATTTATACCTTTAGTGTTTAAGGTATAGGCCATTTCAATGGTATCTTTCCGTTCCAAACAGTAAATGATACCACAAGAGTTAGCAAAGTTTTCACTTATTAATTTGGCAATGTCGTCTTTGGCAGAAGATTTCTTAGGAACCACACTGAAATGTAAGTTGCTCCTTAGAAATGACTGAGTAATAATAGCTGGGTTTTCCAGCCGCAATTGGAGACTAATAACAGAAACAGTTCTGTCCGTTGCTGTGGCTGTTAGGGCCACTACAGGTACACCATAATCCTTTAGTAACCCTAGGCTGGAGTAACTGGGGCGGAAATTAAATCCCCAGCAGTCAATACAGTGGGCCTCGTCTATAACAAATTGGGTAAGCGTGTTATTGGTAGTCATAGTTTGCATCAAACATTTGACATTGGGGGTTGTGATAGTTTCAGGAGTAGTGAAGAGGAACTTGTATGATGGGTCAGGCAAACTAAGGTTGTGAAAAACAACCATTTTCTCCTCATTCTTCATACTTGAAACAAGATAACACACATTAAGACCAGCCCTACGCAGGCGTTGCACCTGATCAAGTATGAGGGCAATTAGAGGTGAGACAACGATGGTGACTCCAGGCAGAATGACCCCCGGAACTGCATAGCACACGGTCTTGCCACCACCAGTTGGCATCAGTACAATGCAGTCATTTTTATTTAAAATGGCATCGATGGCATCTCTTTGCTTGCCCCGAAATGCATCATATCCAAACACATTTTTTAAAGTATCTATAGCCACATCACCTGTCTGGCTAAGTGGTAGTGTCTCAGTGACCACTTCAGCCTCCTCCTCCATAGGGGTAACAAAATTGTCCATCACCTTTAAAGCAAAGTTTTCAATAATTTATTTTGTTGAGACAAACAGGATGAGTTTTATTTTGCTAGACAAAATTGGTGTACAATGTAATATCTCAAAAAGAAAGGAGAGCGAATCATTTTGCGAAATTAAAGCAAAGAAAAAAAACATTTGCAGTTTTTAAAGACCGTGTTCATCCAAAAAAGTGGACTCCAACAACTTACTGTATACAATGCAGTCATTCAGGATCACCAAGAATCGAAGAAGCGGCGATTTGTTAATGAATCAGTTTCATGTCGTGGAGGTAAGAAACATCTTCTGGGCTTTTTATGTCCAGTTTGGACAGGTAATATGTTTATGAGAAAGTTCATTACGGTACATGTTTTTGAAACTTAAAGAATGCCTACTATTGATTATCTTAGGTTCCCAATATATATTAGGTTAGCAAAGTACAGTTCCAGAGGATTTCAGAAGACCAGATCGAAAGGCATCGTTATAATACTAGGATATTTTGTTATAAAAGTACTACTTTTATATCATAACAATTTCACGAGATTAACCATTTCAGTACAATTTTGTGCTTTTTGAGCAACCTTTTGATTCAGAAATCGAAAAATATATTATCTTTTTTTTATGATGAATCAAATATGTCAATAATAATCTAAAAGTATTACCTTTTTTACAAAACATGGTTCTAGTATTACAGCGGTGCCCTTGGATTTCGTGTCCTCAAATTCTTTCAAACCGTACCAAGCTTTGAATTTAACCAATAGGCTCGAGGTGGAAACTGTTATTAACACTGGCTTGTTGCCTTTCGAGTACTCTCTTAATCGGCCAGCATGCAACAAATACATCGCAAACATCTTGGCAGCTTCATTCGGTCGTTTTGCCACAACTCTAAGCCTGTCATCAGCTATCCCGACAGAAAAGATAGTTTCATCACTCGAAACCTAACATAATCAATAGAGTTGGCATTAATTAAGCTTAGAAATTAACAAATCTTGTACCGAAACGGACTTTCCCATTAATATGTAAATACTGCCTGCCCTGACCGCTTTTCGAAAAGCTCAAGTAGGATATTTCTTGTCTCTCTGGCGTGCAACTTTTGCATTAAACAGCCGGCCGCGTCTTCAATTTTCGGTAGAAAAATCACTTCTGGATGACGAATCCTATAATGCTGCTGGAGTCCAGCTCTTTGCAAGAAAACAGCCTCCTCACACACAGGGTGCGGACAAGCAATCTTATTCTCCAACGTGGCAACGTGAACTGGTCTAAATTCATTTCTTAAGATTTCGAACTCGTCCGCCATTAAACTTCCCGCCATCTTGAAAACAAGATCTGCCAGACGTCTCGCCCGTTGTCTCCTTCCCGCCTTCCTTTGCGCGCACATTTTCATCAAAAGAGAGACGTCTGGGTACGAGGCAGTGACTACTCGTAGTCTAGACGATACAGGTTGATGTTCGAGAACTCCATGGTGCAAATCACCCTGCATATTCGAATTTTTAACAAGAATAAAAATAATCTTGGTTTTAGCCGCTGTTAAAATAGTCGATCTAGTAAACAGGTAGAGAAATCAATTAAAATACATAAAATACTCACAGTATCGCCCGAAATTCCGCCATATCCACAGTCTCAAAGCCACAGTTATTCATTCCGGCGCGAACGAGTTTGTCATTTGGCGCGAATGAAAGCTGCGAAGAAATTTTGCGGTTACGTGTTCCTGTCAAATAGAGCATCGTGATTGGCTCCTAAACACCATTGTAGCTTACCACGGTAAATGGGCACTTCATGTGATCTTTTTGACGCATCCATGGATATTTAACACGGAAAATTTACCTCGGGAAACGTCGGTCACATTACTTAAAACAGTTTTCCTATTTTCCCGAGGTGAAAGGGCAATTTCCCACGGTAAAAGTGCCCCCTGTAACCGCACCTATTATTTGGATTGTCTAATTTATTTTTGGGTTTTTGTTCTCTAACGCTATTCAATCTATAAAATGTTTGTTCAGATATGGAGTCCTGACAACTGGCTAGTGGTAGCGTACTGAAAAAATCACCAGTGTGGTGAGAGGACATGAAACTTGATGCAGGTGTGAAAGTTGAAACCGTAAATTGAACGGTGTTCTGTTAGAACAACCGGTAAAAGACAAATAGCATTCATTAAAGAATTAAATGAGAACATCCAGTTAATAACAATGAATGGAGACAAGGTAAGAAATTCTGCTGCCTTTTCATTACTGTATAAAGGTGTTTCGATACAGTCGTCGGGGACCATGCCGATATAAGTGATTGAAATTGTGCGATCGCTGTGACTGACATTGACTGACACTGGACTGAAGTTTGTCAAAATGTAGTTTTAAGTAAAATCGCTATCACTATGGCAACAGTAAACAAAAACATTTGAAGTCGATAAAAGCCGAATTTTGCGCGATCTAGACCTTCAACGTTCTGAAAATCCGACACTAGGAACTTAAAGTGTGGTGTTTAGCGAATAACATCCGTGAGAGGTAAAAAATTCTGTATGTTTGAATTCAAATAAACGTAAATATATTTCAAACCTTATATTTTCAATAGCTGTGATAAACTTTGCGCGATCTAGACCTTCAACGTACTGAAAATCCGATACTAGGAACTTAAAGTGTGGTGTGTAGCAAATAACATTTGTGAGAGGTAAAAAATTCTGTATGTTTGAATTCAAATAAAACGTAAATATATTTCAAACCTTATATTTTCAACAGCTGTGATAAATTGTTTAATAAAGAAACACGAGACGCAGTCGAGTGTTTTTCCCTATTCTTTTTTTCGTGCTCTAGGAGCTTCTTGCGGGTGCTTTGCAACAGAACAGAGCCGACATGAAGTCAAGTCTTCTTCATTTGTTCACTTGGTGGTTGGTGTTGATCTCGTGGTCCATGATTACGTCATTTACTCATGACTCATTAATCTTACCAGAAACATTTAGTAAAAGCAAGGGCCTATGGTTTCTTGTGTCTGTCTCGTCGAATTTTTTATAAACTTTGGTCTGTCCTATCCTTTCGAGACAGACGTCTGAAGGGGTAAAAGGAAAGGAGATTAAGGCTACAGTACGGCATAAAGAGCGCGAGAGGAAGAAGGGAATGTTGTCTTTTCCTTCTTTCTTGACCTCCTTAAATACTTCTTCTTTTCTCATCCCCTTTAAATGCCTGTCACGCCTAACGTCTAATATCAGGCAGGTTTGTCTCTTCCTTTCAGTAATGTCTGCGTGTGGAGTGTTGGCACGTAGACGGATTCGGACGCAGTTTCAGGAAGATGACCGCGAAGAAACCGGTAACAAAATAAGAAAAGGTGATATTACATCAGACTCCAGATCCAAACAACTTTCAACCTAAAACCGTCTTAAAAAGTAAACACCCCAAAAAGCTTTGAAAAGACACCAAAACCAAAAAAGCCAAGGTTTTTCAGTGCAAAAGCGAAATTTCTCAACCAAAATTAAACTCAATTGAACGTATTCGACTTGCAGTTTTTTGCTCAGCGAATGCAATTATTGTCTTAACGTTGTCTTATAGCTGGGTTTCAAGGTAGTATACTTACCAAGTAGCTTGTTGTCTTCAGTTTTTCTCAGTTTTAGACCGAGAACCTATTTTCCTGAAAATTATTACCGATCTGCGGAACTAGCGTTTAACTGTTTATCTTACACTCTCCTGTGATCCGGCAGGTGAGAGTCGTGAGAGAGTGTGTTAATGTCCATAAAAATGCAATGAAAAATATATTAAAAACCTTCTATTGAAGGTCTAATAATAGCTACTAGACACTATTAACAGTGTCAAGCAGTGTTTTGTTAGTTAACCAGCCCATTCTTACCCTTAACCTCAAAACCTTGATCTTCAGTTATGTTAGAACTGATATTCGCTTTTCCCCTGCGTTATAATGATTACTCTGTTTTGCCTGTTGCGGAAACTTCTTAATTAGTCGAAAGTCCAAATGAGGTGCAGGATTAGTGTTAAATGAAAATCGGTATCCAGATGTTCTTGAAACGGAGACCAACTAAACCGTGCTCTCCTACAACTTATCGATTTTCGTTTTTCTCTTAGGCTGTATACTGTGTAATTGTGCAGTCCAAAGTAGATTATAAATGAGACGGTGCTTAAAAGTGACAACTTATATTTATACAAAGTCCGGAAAAAAAATGATAAAAATATACATTATTATAATACATTATTATAATATATACTGATATAAATATTTAATTTCCCGCATTTTGCAGTTTTAATTTCAACGAAAGCGCCCTGTTTGCACACCCTGTTCTATGTTGTTGCATGTTGCCTGTTGTCGGGAGTTGTTGTGCAAAGTTTGAAACCGGTCAAACCTTTACCTACGTGCGAACGGACGTAACAACTCCCACCATTGTCAGGAGTTGTCGCGTCCGTTTGCACGTAGCTTAATAGACATTGTTTTAATGCAATACGAAAATTCATAACATGAAAAGTAAAATTTACCAAATTTTACCTTATTCCTTAAAGCTACGTAAAGTTCAGAGGCAAACCTTTACGCACCGATACTGTAAAGGTGCGTAAAGTTGAACCAGTAAAGCTGTCCGTTAAGCTACCGTAAAGGTTGCGTAAAGAGAGCACTTTATGCTACGCAAGGAAAGTACTCGTTTTCTTCATGTCATATGACGCTTCCATGGTGACCAGATAATTATATTGAAACACTTCATTGTGATTAATTTGACTCACCCACTTATTGACAACACAGCAATTTTCAAGGAGTTATAATAACTCCTCTAGTGGGGTTAATTTATCTCCTTACAGTGGAGTTATAGGTGTCCCCAATTAGTAGAGGGGTTCTTAAGCCCATCGGCTAGACATTCCAAGACACATTAATAAAGCTTTATGTTTTATGTATGTATTTTTTTGGAGTTATTTTAACTCCAAAAGGGAGTTTAAATAACTCTTTTTCAGGAGTAAAAACAACCCCAGATTTGGAGTTAATATTGAGGAGTTAAAGTAACCCCCAAAAAGGGGTTATCCTGTACCTAAAATTTTTACTCCATTTTTTGGAGTTATAAAAACTCCGTAAAACTTACTGTGAAGACAACATTTAAAACCACATAAATTTAAACATTTCGGGAAAAGTTTCCGCATATATCAAGCCTCTTTTCATTTTAACTATGGTATTTTTGCGCAGTTTCTACTGTCAAACAAGACAGTCTCCGACACACTTATGATCGTCATTAATTTTTTCAATTGTTTTGCAAATATCTATGAGCTTATACTAATAACTCGGCCGTGGAAGCCGAAACTACAGCTTTCTCGCATTTTAGTTAATGAATCATCCCCGCAAATGTTTGTAAACCTGTGTGCCAAATAGAAGTAGTAAATCGAAATTGAAATTGGACAACATCATCTTTGAAGTGAGAATTTTTACTGGTATTTCCATAAAAAAAAAACAACATAAAAACAAAAAAAGAAAGAAAGAAAGAAAGAAAGAAAGAAAAGAGAAGAAAACTGCATCACGCCAGCGTTAAGTTCTATAAACCAACAACCATGAGGTTGATACATGTAAACGATATGCGTTGAAACAAACGCTGCGTCCCTTAATGACCTAGCCTCCCCGCAGACGTCCTTTGGGGTTCGTTTGTCACGCATTCATTTCTCCCCCACGAATGCGTGACAAACGAACCCCAAAGGACGTCTGCGGGGAGACTATTAATGGCCAAAATGACTGAATATAATCCAACAACTTTTATGATAAGAAAAAAAAAATGGTGCAAAACTGAATAATATATATTACACTGGAAAAACTGATGAATTTACGTACACATGTAAAATTATATTCTTATATGTAAATATCCCGTAAATCATCTACAAATCACTGTAAACGACATTTTACAGGGAAAATAATAATAATAATAATAATAATAATAATAATAATAATAATAATAACGCGAATATTTATACAGGATAACCTATCAGTTCTAATAAAACGAACTGTTATCAAAAGGGTCCTGTAATTATCTCATAAATAGCTAAAAAATAAAAAATAAAGTCGAAAAAGGAAAATGAAATAAAATAGCACTAAGAAATCTAAGATTTAAAAATCAAAATCTGTAAAAATCATCGACTTACAAGACTGAAAAGAGTTATGAATTATGGAATACTATCGAAAAAATTGTTTTAAATTGCTCTTAAAAAGAAACCTAGAATTTACAGTTCTTAAATGCCGAGGTAAAGTATTATAAAGTAGAGCCCCTTGAAAGGCAAAACTTCTCCGTCCAAATTCTAATTTGGCTTTGGGAAGTTTTAGTGAACACCCATTGTTTCTAGTGTTAATGTTGTGTTCAATTTT